CTTATGAACGAGCATCCTCACTATCAGAATTCTTTGCATTATGGAACTTATCATTTTCTGGAGTATTTTGAAGTTAGTTCAAGTCCACAGAATTGTTAAAATGGAGATGTATGCACTCACTTCATGGAAAGAGGTATTTTGATCACCAAAGCTAATATAGACTGGATATAAGGAAGAAGTTCTTTCCTGTGAGGGTGGTGAGGCACTGGAATAGGTTGCCCAAGGAAGTTGTGAATGCTCCATCCGTGGCAGTGTTCAAGGCCAGGTTGGACAGAGCCTTGGGTGACATGGTTTAGTGTGAGGTGTCCCTGCCCATGGCAGGGGGCTTGGAACTTGATGATCTTAAGGTCCTTTCGAACCCTAACTAATCGATGGTTCTACGATTTAGCACAAGACTAGTTAATATCAAAGCATGAGCATATTCTACATATTTGCCCTTTGCTTTACTCTGTTTTCCCCAAGTTCACTGTCATCTGTAGTATAGAAATACCTGCTGAGAACTAATGATACGTGCCAGCACACAGTGATGACTATTTCATTCCTTTAAGCTAAAAAGAAAAATATCCTTTTGAGTGTCAGGAGAGACAGAGACAGGGCAGCTCCTCAGGAAGTGCAGCATGCCTGTGAAGCAAGGCTTTGAACCAAAAGGGTTCACACACAGTTACAGTAATATCAGAGTGTATGTGTTGAATATATGCGTATATTCAAATTTTCATTTACAATATATGCATACACACGCATATATATATGCTTCCTCTTTTTAGGGATTATTTTGAATTTATACACACTTGTCGAAAGCCAACAGTTATATTTAACTTTGCAAGCCTGAATAAGAGCTACCAGATACGTAAAAAACAAGTCTCTGCAATCATGTTATTCTGAAAATCATGCAACATCCCTTTAAAAATAAAATGTTTTGAAAAAAAACTCTCTAGTGTAAACTAATGGAAAATAGAAAACAAGCATATGATCTTTAATTCACAGAAAAAATAAATAGAAGCAAGTGTGCATTCCTACCTTCAGTGACTCGCAATGTATCAACATCTATTACTCAATTAAAACCACAGTGATCTGTACAAAGATTGGGTTTTTACCCTTAATCACAGTTGCTCAAGGTTTGTCTTCAAAACTGAAGGATTCTTTCATCCTTCCTAAGATTATAATTCTAACAAAAGTCTGATTTTGTAAGGGTTTTTTTCTGGTGTCTGAAAAACAGCAGCAAAAAACCAAGCACATGTTGCATAGTACTTACAGGAGACAAACATGATGAGGTTTTCCTAAAGATATCAGAGAAGTGCGCAAAACCACAGTAAAAGCCGGTATTTGTGTTAATTTTGTACCCAGGATAAGCCCAGGTGTTGTACCAGACCCTTTGACTAGGACTTTCTACAAAAAATTATATACAGCAAGATGCAAAAAATACTTATGCTAATTATTACATGACAGTGATGGTCCTTACATAAAGTGTTTCATACAGTTACAGCAGGGTGCAGATGTTGTTGCCTTTGTTGGCGTGGCAGCCTGGTTCAGGAACGGCATGGTGACCAATCCCAGGCCGCTCAGGCCATCAGCTCACGGACACCAATGTGGTGGATGGCAAATGGCATTTATTGGAGAGTAACACAGCGTTACATGGCCTGGGTTTACAACGTCACGTCCGTCTGCTTACGACCTAGGCTAGGCCCTATTGGCTACTCGGAGGGGGGTCTTACCTTTCCGTACAGCGCGACATCTTCCGACCGCCAGACCCTAACTACCTACAAGATATGCTCCTCAAAGTCAAAGCATCATTTAAATCCAGTCTTCAGCAGCCCTGTAACCACAGACCACACAGACAAAGAAATTCAAGCACAACTTTTTTCTTAAATATTCATGTATTTATAAAAAGAATCCAATGTTCTGAAAGTTGAAAGCCCAGGCATCTTCCCTAATGTCAGCTGCACTTACAGTACGGATTCTGAGAAATCAGAGATTTCTAGGTACCAGCAACTATGCACCTCTCAAGAGGCAAAGCATAAACTAGCCAGAGCAGCAGAATGGCATACTTGAATGACTGCAAACGCAAGCAGCTTGTATGCTTTGGCTTTGAGGCTTAATGGAACTGCAACTGTCTTAACCCAACTGCCTTGAAAGTCTTAAATACCTGTTCCTAGAACTGTGCTTAAGAGACAGAGCCTGGCTGGACCCTCAGACTTCAGAAACAAACTCACCCACTGACTAAACTGTGATATGGTCCAGTTTCAAGCACTTAGTCAAAAGCACCTTGACTTCAAATAAATACATTTTGAGTGGCATTACCTGCAGCACATGACAGAACCTCTTTCCTGATATTGACAAATACAAGAGTAACACACTCCTTGTAGCTCCCCAAGGTGGTGAATGGTATGGTACACTGCATGCTTCCGAGGTAGCAGACAGACAACACTGGTACACCTTTGATTCATCCTGTTGGTTAATAAAGCATAACCTGATGTTCAAGTTATCACTCTATTTTCTAACCAGTTAATAGAGATCCCCAACATTACAATTCTCTGGCTAGCAAGCACACTGTAGATTTATCACAATAAGAGAACTTATTTTTCCTAATTTGCTTTCATTTTCTTGGTAGAGTGCACAAATACAAGTTTGGGAGGCAGCAGAAGGATTCTTTACTGTTTCAAGTTATTGATCAGAAATAAGCATGGCTCAATATGATTCAGTCACAAAATCATGCATTATTTTGAATGGCTGACGAAGTTCTCTATAGAAAAAATAAAAATAATCAGTAATTGCATTACATCATACCTAACTCCGATCTTATTTCTCCATTTGCCTTCAACCATGTAGCATTCTAGACTGTAACAGTACCCCTTCTAACATTTACTCATCACTACAGCAATGTCAGACCACTCTGTATCATTAAAATTATAATGAAGCTCTAACAGTATTGCTAATTAAACTACTCACAGAAGTTTGCTATGATTTTTCATTTTTGTTTCCATTGCAGTGTTTCTCTGCCACATTAATAGTGCACATCATACAAACGGAAGTACTTTCATTGAAGTTCATTAGTAAACCAGGGTCTCTGTCACTTGCATCCTTACAGGTTGACTGTTTTCTCTTAAGGAGTCACTAGTCTCCCTGTGTATTTTACCTGGTACCCTTTAAATTAACCTGGTACCGGTTACGACTACAGGAAACAGGAAAACCTTCTCTCATATCCCCCAGCCAACAGCTCTTTTTAAAAAACTGGTCAGTTGGACTCATTCTCTTTTCTTCACTGCAAGACAATAGTAAGTAATACCTTGCTACTGGACAGAAAGGAAATTCCTTCATACAAGTTAAAGCCTGGTCTACACACAGATTTTGCTTGACTGTAACTCATATAGAAATGAGAATAAGAAAAACCTCAAGCCTTAATACGAGTTTATCTTCACAACCTAACACCAGCACAAATACAAAAGAATCCCAAGAGCCTGCATGCAAATATATTTATAGTTGTCATTTTATCCACAGGACAACAGTGCTGCCTAAGGAAGGATGATGTACCTCAAGCATGCTTGTTCAGTAGAAGTAATGACATGACATGGAGATACACAGAACTTTATGTTCCTCTTAGATATAAACACAGCTACTACTTAAACACATTCAAAAAGGCAATTTCTGCATTCATCCTGACACAGTAGTCTTCAACTGTGGTAACTTTTGACGGAACTTTTGAAACTTCAATAAGGTAACTTTCAACTGTCCTAGTTTAGGGCTAGGTTTAGAGAGCTTTGCACTCCACAGAATTCCTTGTTCCAACAAACAAGGAGATTTGGGTATCTTCATTGCTAAAACCTGGAAAGATGCTCAAGTTTTCCTACTAAGACACACCACAATGTCTGTCTTGACTTTTTTATTCTCCTGATTGATGACGACTTCAGGGAGTCTCTTTCCAGAAAACTACACCAAATACAGTCTCTCCCATAGACACACCAGAGGACTTGCGTAAGCTGCTTATGCAAATGACTGAACTGGAGACAGTTCTATACAGACCACTAGTATCAGTTATAAATTGGAAGTTGTATTAGTTTTAATAGTGTTTTAACTTGAAACTTGAAACCACTCACTAAACTGGAAATGTCTCATAACCTCACAAAAAGACAAGCAATTTCCAAGTGTGATCATTCAGCATACAAACCAATTTACTGTTCCTGTAGCAACATGCTCACATTTCTAGACCTCTATGTTTATTTCAACTGTGAATCCTAACACTGCACTAGTGCACTTTAACACAAATATATATATTGTCTGAGTAACATCACTCCCACAGAAGGCAACAGAGAGATTCAGTATAGAAAACAGTGTTTCACTGGTGTCATCAATGCATTTAGTATTAGGTGCTACATGAAACAGCAGTAATAATCAACACACTAACCACTATGCATACACACACTTGCAGTATATGTCCATGTGAGCAGAGTTCTGGTGAAACAGTAATTTGAAGGTTATCATCTCATACAACAGTGGACATAGCTATCTTTAGCAGGAAATTGCTTAACGCCAGTCATGTTTCTTGTCCTTAGGTGCAGGTTTTGTTAGCTGTTAGTTTTATACCAGAGTGCCTTCTAGTGGTTAAGGAGCTACAAACCTCACCTTAAAATGGAAATCCTACTAGGTATCAAGCAATTATTTAGTAAATTAGTCTACATAAAGATATCTTTATAGATGTCTTCTTGGAAATATTTGTTGCACGTCAGAGCCACAGTTCTCCATGATAATGCTGTTTATAAAAACAGAAATGTCATTTACGAATGGAAAAATACTACTTGCCAAACAAGTGAAGAAACAACTGCTATAGACTGCTCAGCTTTGGGAATATACTTGACCTGGATTGCAGGTTTACTCCAAATGGTAAAAATAGCAACATCATGAGTTAATTTCATTCAACAATTCTATCAGTATTTATCTGAATTATTTTAGCCATATGAGCCACGCATGCAAAGTTTAAACATCAACCCATTAAAAAGAAAAGGTACAGAACTGTATGTTTGGATCCAGGAGCCCCCAGGGCAAGAGACCACCAGCCTGCTGGTGACAGGAGCCGGGCCGCCCCGCCCATGAAGGAGACGGTGATGGTGGTGCTGCTCTTGGCGCGCAGCATCTCAGGGGCCCTGACGGTGAAGGCCGGGTGCTTTACTGCATACTGGAATGCCATGGCCTTCGGGAAGACGTTCCTGAGGGAGATGGAGGTGGTGCCGCTGGCTGGGATGAGGAAGGGGCCCTGGGGCTCAGGGGGCAGCACAAGGCCGATGAGTGGGGTGCAGTACTGCCCACCCAATGCGGAGCTGAGCCACAGCGTGGCCTTGGCTTTGCCCAGCTGGCAGGGCTCAAAGGTCACTTCCACGCTCAGGCCCGAGCCCCCAGGGCTGGCGGGTGCCGCACTGATGGATTTTGCCATCTGGAAGTCGGCACAGTCGGTCTGCGCAGGGGAGACAAGAGAGCATGGCGGGTGGCTCACAGCAGCAGAGCCAGCACCTCGCGAAGAACACGATGGTCCCCTGGCCCTGGCCTGTCTCACCCACACCACACCCCTGGTGAGTGCCTGCCGTGAATGGGCATGAGAACTGTACCCAGCAGGGACGACCCTGCACCCAGCCCCAAAATGCCTGACTGCCAGACCTGGGCTGCAAGGGGGAAGCAAGCCCAGGCACCATGGGGACTGCAAAAGCAGCTGCGACCAGGGCAGCAGCCAAAGACCCGGCAGCCCGCGCTCACCTGCAGGAGGTACTCGGTCTTCTGCTGGGCAAAATTCCATATTTTGGTGGTGATGGTCTGACGGGAGCCCAGCGCGGTGTGGAAATACATGGGCTTCTCTGGCCTGCTCGAGGTGGCTTTCAGCTGCAGGTTGTAAGACAGAGAGACCAAGTCACTGCTCTGGAGCACCAGGTGCCTGGTGCGCTCACCCGTTTGCAGGGGCCGATACTCCAAGACAAGATCCGCCTGGGAGGGAGGGAGGGAGGAAGGAAAAAGGCACTGCATCAGGCAGAGGCAGGGAAGACGTGTGCCTGAGAAGGGGGCACTTGGTCCCTGCTGTGCTCAGGCAGTGCTGGAAGGCTGGGCTGCCTTCCCCACTCTGACTCCCTCTCTCTCGGGCACAGCCTTGCTCCTTCTGGGAGACGGTTCACTTAGGGGCAGATCCCAACAGCTCAGAGCACTCCAGCGTGATGCCAGAAGCTTCCCACCCTAAAAAGGCCCTGTGCTCCCCCAGGGCACACACCACCTCCTGTCAATCCAGGCTGCAGACAACCTGGCTGTGGGCTGAGGCTTGTCCTGCAGGCACTCACAGCTGGAAGCACCACACTGAAGGAGGGGTACGTGGCACAAGGACCTGCCACATCAGGCCCAGTGGCAGCGTGTGACAGGGGGCAGCAGGGCAGACTCCACCAGCACAGGATGATTCCCACTGGGGATATTCTCGCACCCTGCTCCCTCTCTACATCATCGCCAGGGAGCTGCCACCAGGAAAGAAGCCCCAGAGGGGTCCTTTCAGGCATCACCCTTCAAGAGCACCCCCTCCAGCCAGGAGCAGGGAGAGCAGAGTGAGCCAGAGGAGCTTTGCTCCTACCTTGGACCGTGCAGGAACAGTAAAGTGCTGTGCAACGCTGACGTTGGGCACTTCGCATTTGATGTCAAACATCACTGGGACAGGCAGAGGGCTGTCCACCTTGACGGTGGAGGACACTCTCTGCCGAACAGCAGTGCTCATTTTAACAGTGCCCATGGGTCCTGAAGCCACCACCTTGAAAGTCACCATGTGGAACAAGTACTCTCCAGTTGTCTCATTGAGGAAGGTCACGTGAATCAGACACAAAGGCAAGTGCTGCTCATTGCACACATGAAACTAGACCCAAAAGAGCCCACCCAGCTCAGCACCCTGCTTCCAGCAATGGCGGTGAGCACCCACCCAGCAAGAGTGCAAGACCAGAGAAAGCACGTGTGCTATTTCATAGGACCTGTGCCTGTGGAGGTGTGAAAACAGGCGTGGAGCTTCCCGGTGAGCCAGCAGCTCCTTGAAGGGCCCTGCGGACCAGTGTCCTTCCTCACTTACCTTTGCCCTGAAGACTCCTCTGTAGGAGAAGAAGGTGAGCTCGTAGTCCTTCTTCGCAGAGCTTGGCAGGTCGATGTATGAAGAGCCCTGCAGCACAGAACTGCTTTCCAGGTTCTCTGGTTTGAGAATGTCAATAACCACCGGAACCTGTGGGTGAGAAGGACACAGTGAATGAAGGTCAACAGGAAGGACCCCCATAGGATACCCATACAGCCCCTCTCATCCCCACCCAGTACCTCAGGCAGAGGGCGCCAGCTCTCACCCCCTTGGAGCAAAGCCCTCCAGAATGGCTCTGCACAGGCAGAACGTGGCTATGGCCAGACATGGCCAAGGAGAGGGAAAAGCTTTCAGGAAGGAGCTTCCAGGCAGTGGAAGCTTCCTTCCTTGTGCTGCTGCAGGGATTCCTGATGGGACCAGACTTCCTGGCCTGGACTCACCTCTGTGGTCTGTGCAGCCAGTTGGACACAGGGATGAGCTCCGTGTGGCGATTCCTGCACGCAACCTGCCGGGAAATGGCCCCTGAACACCGGGGGGCTTCAGCAGCTCCTTCCAGCTGGCAGTGTAACCCTGTTCCATCCGGCAGGGGGAAGAAGATGGAGCCCTACAGACAACGAATAGCACAGGTCAGCTCTGCAGCACCCCCGGACAGTCCCATGGCTGAGGCTCTCACTGGAGCAGCTTTCAGCAGGTCCAGCCGGCAGAGCTGTGACCGCAGCCCTGTGACTGTCCCGCGCAGGAGGAGACGCCAGCGTCGCAGCTGCTCAGAGCTGGTTGTGAGCGGGTGCATGGCCCACAGGACATGGCACAGCCACAGGGCACACAGGCACCATCTCTGGGCAAAGCAAGGAGGGACGGGCCCTGCAGCAGAGCTGCTCTGCACATCCCAGCACTCCCTTACTGGCCTCACTCACCTGGGCACGCCCCTGCCAGCCTGTGCTCATGCAGGGACAGCAGTGGGCAGGAGGTGGCCGTCCCTGATGAGCTCCATTGCCTCAGTCCTGCTGGCCTTAGCCCCAACAGCACTGCCCAGAGAGCAGCCTCTGAGCTGGCACAACAGGGGCCCACCAGCCATGGGCCAGGCAAAGCTCATCTCCATGCTCATTCTGGGTGCCTGTGGATCCCAGATACCTGCCTCTGGCATCTCCTCTGCCTCCACAGCAGCTCAAAGCTGCAAGACTCCTCACGCAGGATGTATGCCAAAGAGATGCTGAGCACGTGCTGAAACTGCAGGGCAGCTTTGCCCTTCTTGCTCCCTGCAAGCTGCACAAGGACGCCAGCCAGGTGGTGCTGGCAGAAGTGGTCCTGCCCAGGGCTTGGAGAGCCTCTGCAGCCCGTGTGCGGAGCATGGGGGTCTCTGAGCCCCCTGGGCTGCTACAAGCAGCCACCAGGAGCTGCACAGAACAAACTTCATTTCTTGCCCTTCAGAAAGCCTGGCTTTTTAGCTTAGATGCTCCAACACGGCTGGGGGTCGGTCCCCAGTTCCCATCTGCCCTTTGCCCGTGCCTGGCCTCCAGCCACCACAAAACCCAGCTTCCAACAGAGAGCACAGGACACCTTCAGCTTGGACAGGACCTCTGAAGGTCATCTTGTCCAACCTCCTGCCCAAAGCAGGCTGAGCTACGAGGCTCGTGCCTCCAGGGTCAGCACGCTGGCACAGCTCACGTACCTGATGCTTCTTGTTCTCAGAGCTCATGGTTAGGGGTCTGTAGGTGACCTGGTAGGCCTTTTTGCCTGGCCTCCAGATGGATAAATTCAGGCCCTTTCCAGTATTCCCCTCAATGATGGGCTGCAGGGTCCAGGCCTCACTGCTCGGGTTGGACAGGAGGATGGTCTGGCTCTGACTCTCACTCACACTGCAGCTGAAAGTCACGGTCTGTAACAGAGGAGCAGAGAGGCTGCTGGCTCGCACCCACAACCCTTCCCACTCTTCTCTCGCTGGCTCTACACCGGGACCTGGAGCAGAGGGAGCAGCTTTTCCTTGTCACATGTAAAAATTACACTTTGGCCATAGCTTCTGGAGTGACTCGAGCTGGTTGCTCTTGAAGGGAGCAGAACAAGCCTTTCGCATGCTGGCTGAAAGGAAACGGGGAGTCCTGAAGGGAAACTCCTGTGCAAGGACAAGATCTGCAGCCACACAGCCCCTTCCTTCATGGGCAGGATGAAGAGGAGCTCCATGCTCTCTTTGGGAGCAAGAGCCAACAGCTGCCAAGTTGCCCGCTCCCAGGGGCTGGATGCAGACGCCTTGCCCCTTCCTACTGCTGAATGCCCTCCCCTGGCCCGGCAGCGGGGAGAAGTGTGGCTGCGGGTGCAGTGCTGGGATCCAGTGCGCTGGCTCTGTGGGGAGGGTCTCAGAAGAGCCTGTCAGGGTGTTCCCATGGCACGGGTGCTGCAGTGCAGAGCCAGGACAGCCGAGCTGCTCACTGGAGGAGCAGCACCTTCAACAGGAGAGAAAGGCAATGAGAGGGCTCAGCAATTCTGCCAGTCCTGCCCAGCACTTTCTCTCTGAGATACCCCGGCACGAGCGAGTCTGTGCTCACAAGTGTCCTTCAGTTGCTGCCCTGGGAGAGATGTGGTGCAAATGCTGGCGCCCAGGGGCCCATCCTGTCCCTGCTGCCTTACCTCTTTGGTGCCAGGGGCCTCCACGCAGGATCCTGACAGCGTAAGCCGCAGCGCCTCACTGCCCTGGCTGAAGCACCGCAGCCCCTCGTTCTGGACAGCCTGGCTCAGCTTCAAGGGGTGGAAGGTCACAATGAAGGGGATATCCAACCCTGGGCTGATGTAACCCTTCGTGGGGCTGATGGAAAAGTCCGGCTTGAAGCTCTCCACGTCCCACATAAACCTTGCCGAGGAAAGCACAAGGACAGGAAAGAAGGATTAGCCACGGGGAGCTGTGAAGGCAGTGTAGGTCTCAGTGTGAAGCTGTAAGTCTCTTGTGGGCTTTCCCACCACATCTCAGGCCTGATGCTGAGCCACCTGGCAATAAGGCTTCAGGCTGGGCAGGACCCACTGCACCCATCTCTAAATAAGCTTTTGGTTGTACCCCCTTGCTAACTGCTAGGGCCTGACTGCACGGCCATGGCTGCACGACTCTCCACCAGGATGGAGAAGCAGAGAGGAACTATCTGGGCACACTATGGCCCCACACAACCCTCATCCAAGCTCTCAGCCCTCAGAGGGGGTGGGGTTCTGCTTTACCTGACTCCTGTGTCTCCCACGTTCTGCATGACCACGCGCTGGCCCGTGTAGCTCTGCTGCACCACGGCTCCAAAGCTGAGCTGGTCCTGGTCCAAGCTCAGGAGGCTGCCTTGGCAGGAGCCCCGCACCACAAAGAGGGAGCTCACCAGCCCGTGGCACTCCAGAACTTCCCTGGTGAATGGCTGGATGCGGCGCTTCGGGGAGAACGTCACCTCCACTTTGCAGGTGTCTCCTCTAGGCTTCAGCTTTAGCTCCTTGCTGGGCTTCAAGCACAGAACCTGCCCGAAGAAATGAGTGGAGACTATTTCCTCTGGGAAGCAAGCTGTGGAGCCTCCCTCACCAGACTCAGGAAAGAAACTTCCAATTCCTGTTCTGTCCCCACCAACACTGCCCCAGGCCCACTCATTCCCTCCTAGGCATTCCTAGGTAATATCAAAGGTGTTTGTCCACCTGCCATGTGTCACCTGGTCACGGTGAGGCCAACTCTGTCTTCTAAAGCTTTCATGTAAGTTCCAACAGAGCTGTAACTCTCCCTCTTTCAAGATTCACCTCCCTCACCTTTCCATATCTAAAATACATGGCTGCATCCTGATGTATGCATCTAAAACAGGTTAGAGGAACTGTGCTGCCTTCTCACTTCTGGCTCTCCGGGAGTCCTGGAACCCAGCTCAGCTGAAGCAGAGCAGTGCCAGCAGGGAGGACAGGGCAGGCACAGGCAGCTAGGGCAGCCCACAGCTGTCATTAGCTACTAGCTCCCACCCACAGCAGCTCATCGCTCCCTGCAGGCACACCAAAGTGCTCTGCGGAGAAGGAATGGGCCTTACCCCAGCTTCCTGCAACTCTGGCACGGTGGATGTGACTCTGAGCTTAAAGGCGCGAGGGGCTGCACTCTTGTTGGCTATGGTGATGAACTTCTTCACTATCTGCCCAATGCACACGTTTCCTAGCTTCACCACCTTTCCTGGTGGATCCACAACTTCAACCTGAGGCGGCAGGGATTGATATCAAGCAAAAGGAAAGAAGGAGAAAAGGTTTTCTGCCTTTTCTCGTGGCTGAAACCCAAACCACGGTAAGCTGGGAAGAGATGAGGAAATGAGAAAAATATGCTGGTTGCCACCTGGAGTTTTAGTGTTTAGATTTCATCTCACCTTCATTTTTATGCCCCTTCCTTGGGCCTCACCAGTCAGCTTCTCACCCGGGGCACACGAAGGCAGCAACAAGCTGTTGTGGCTGTTGTCATCTTTCGGTGTCTGTAGGAGCTTTGCACAGAGGGAAGAGAAACCATAGACAGGATGGGTTTCTTGACCTTCACCACGTGAACAGACTCCCCAGCCAAGCCATCCCTTCCCACATTCTTCCCCCCCCCCCCCCCGTGGCAGGGATTATCCAAGTGCCTCGGCAGCCTGCCAGCAGAGCTGGCTAACCCTGGAATGCCACCAGGCCTTGCCCTGTGCACTGACCCCATCTCCCTGGCACAAGCCTGGAAACGCTGGAGTGCTGGGAATCTACGGGAGTGTGCACAGTCCTTCCCTCTCACCTGCTCCTCAGCAAGGTGCTGCTGGTCAAACTCCAGTGAGTAAACCTCACAGGGATTTTTCACCACCGCTGTCCCCTCTTCCCCATGGCTCTGTGGCAGCAGCGGTCCCAGCTCGAGGTCTGCGGGGCTGAACTCCAGCCGTGGCTCCAGACCACATCCCAAGACCAGCACTGGGAGGTGTTGGCTGCTCTGGCAAATCTGGATCTGCATTTCTCCCCAGTAGCACTTCTGCAAAGAAGCAGCACAGAAAGCTCCTCCATGAAGCCCCAGGTGAGAGTGCCTCCAAGTCAACAATTGCCCCAGGGTCAGGGGTCTTGTCAGCACCTCTAAGCTGAACCCAAAACGGGTATTTACTTAGAGCAGGGGCTACAGCATCGGCATGGCTCTGAGTAACTGCGGTGAGTCCTGCTGTGGAGTGTAACTGGATAGTTGGCTACCAGGTGGATATGAAATGGGCTGTCAGAGGTTTTCACCTAGTCATGGGGGAGCACAACGCTCATGAGAAAGGTCTGCTTTCTCAAACACAGGTCTGGCACTGCAGTACTAGGCAAACATCAGCTGTATGAAAGAGGCAGCTGAGCTCTCACTGGACAGAAATAAGGATCGTCTTCTCTGCTCAGTGCTTGGCTCTCGTCAAAGCCAGACACAAGACAATGAAATCTCCATGAGCAATTGAAAGATCCCTGGGACTGTCCCCAGGCATGGGATCACTTGCATTCATCCTGTCACATGCTGCCAGTTCCCAAGTCACGGTGGCCACATGCAAACTGCCTTTGGGAATGCTGCATCAGTTAAGCTGAGCCCCGAACTGTGTGGGAACATGCAGGGGAAACTGAGGCACGGTGGGCACAGGGCTGGCAGAAAGCTCCATGTGAAGGCAGAGCTCATCCCCCACACCCTGTGCCGGCCTCCCCTTACCACACTGCCCTGCCAGACTCCTGGGGGTGACACCCACCAATCCCACCTCTTCCCTGGGTGAAAAACGGACTTGGACATGGCACTGCTGTCCTGGAGCGAAGCTTCCAGCTGAGGGCAGCACCTCAAAGCCACAGGGCACGGACTTCATCTCCTCCAGCAGCTTCTGATGCTCACTTGCTGGCAGATGTTTGCCCACCTGCGCACAGAAACCGGTCGCAGGAGGTCTCCTTGCTCTGTGAGGACAGACCCTCGGTTTCTGAAGTGCTCCAAGATGCTGGCACGGTGCAGGGAGCACCCTCATCCCACCCAGACGTGGCCACCACTGCCTAGAACTGGAGGTCAGATATGCTGGCAGGGCAGGCAGATGGGGAGACAGTGTCCTCAGAGGAGGAGGAAGGGGTGAAGATGGCAGACAAGTGAAGCATCAGCTAGTGAACAGGCCCAGGTGAACCAGCCTTGCTGTGTACCCTCAAAAGCTTCCTCAAGCCAGCTGCAGCCCAAGCACTCAGGCAGCCAGAGAGGCAGAAAAGGCAAGAGGCACAAACCCAACCAAGAAGTTGCGTGTTACACGTTGTCTGTGCTTTACTTAACAGGCTCATTCACGCTGATGGACCATTTACAGGGGACCTGGAATGTGCTGTGGAGCTGGATGGTTTCTTCCTGGCACTGCCCACACTGCACAGTGGAGAACTCCAGACTGACCCTGGAGAGGCAGAGGGATGGCTCAGCCACGATGGCTCAGAGGCGGACCTGCAGTGTGGGGCCTCCTCTGACCTAGAGAAACAGAGCATCCAGTTGAGAGCCCGGCTGACACTTGCTGCTGTGTCCAACCTGCTGCCTGCCCCAGAAGCTGGAGTACCTTGATGGGCAGGAGCACATCCACCTTTCCCAGGGGCAGGTTGGCACTTTGTGGGTCGAAGCACACTTCAAATGTTTTGCTCTCACAGGAGGGCAGGCGCTTCACATGTTCCAGGCATACGCTGAAGCCTGAACACAGGAAAATAAAGCAGCTGAGATACACAAGCAACAGGAAATGGGTCACAAGCACGGTAAGGCCACAGGGCTGCTCTGGCTGGCAGCCCTGTGAAAGACCCCTTTGCATCTCCAGAGAAGCTGCTCTTCACCCCTTGTCACTGCCCAAAGCAAAAGGATTTTCACAGCCAGAATCCAGGGATTGCGTGGTAGAAATGAATCACATTGGTTGAGGAGCTCCAGCAATTCCTTCATCAGGCATCTCAGGGAAGGATGCATAGACCTCTCCAAAGGAGAATTTCCAACTAAGATACCAAATGCTCCGGTGTTCCCTGGACAGCGGCTTAGATGCCTGGCCACCCCTCAGAGACAGCAGTCACCACTGGTTACCTGTGTTATACAGGACATATCCATCGACCTGGAAAGATGCAGGGAAGTGCCCGGTGTTGGTGATCTTCACGATGCATGTGTGGATGTCATCAGGAGCAACATAGCCAAGGTCCAGGATGTATTCGGGCAGCTCAGCTCTGAAAGGAGGAGTAAGGACACTCTGTAAACTCCAGCATGGCGTGGGATGGAGAAGCAAATGGAGTGTATAATTCCATATTCACTACTGTGAAAGCTCAACCCAAGCCCAGGAAACCCAAGGCCTGAGCACCCAGTAATGAGACTTGGCTAAGTCATGGGGAGTATAGGGCCTAGGATTTATCAGCCACCAGTGGGATCTTCGAGTGAGTTTAAAGTGGGTACTGGACACAGTTCCTATGCTGTGAAAAGCCATTGCAGAGAAGTCCACTGCATCTACACTGGTCTCAGTGAAACTGCTAAGCTGGTGCCTGGCCCAAGCCTGAAACTGCTTCAGAACCTTGTCATAGCATTTTCTTGCAGAGGATACCTCCACTGCTCTGCAACCAGATCTGTCCCCAAAGCAGCACTTGACAGTATCACATGCAGTAACCAACACCTACAAGATTGCTGTGAGGGTCTTTTTTGCAGGCAGTCCCACTTGGAAAAAAGGCACATAAGGGGTCTGGTCCATTCCCTCCTCTTCCTGCTTAGTGGGGTCTGTTTCTTAGCACAAAGATGCCAGCTTTGAGATGCCCCTTTCAGAGCTGGTCAGCAGGGGTGGTGCCTGTGCTGTCTGGAAGGGCTTGCTGCTCTGCACCCCCTCAGCTCTGAGAACAGAACCCAGCAACGGTGGGGAGTGGAGCACCTGCAGAGCTCAGGGTAGCACTGTGCAAGTGAGGACACTGAGCTGCCCACAGGGAGCACATCGTAGCTCTCAGCATCAGGCCCTTTCTGAAGTCTTCAGCTATTGCCAGCTCTGAGACACAAGGAGCTCTCAGGAGCAGGGCTGCATTGCTGGCTGTTACCCTCGGGGCCCCTGGAAACAGGCTACAGAAGTCCCTACTAACTTGACAAGCCTCCGATGTACACGCTGGTGAAAGGCAGTGTCCTCCGGAGGACGGGAGGTGAGAGCTTTCTGCTGCTCCAGGGCATGTTCCTCAATCAGCATCTCTTCCATCTGCATCTGCAGTTTAGCATCCCACTGAGGAAAGTAAACACAGGGGCTGGTTAGCAGAGGTCCTTCCCAAGGCACAAGCTTGTCTCAGGTGGAGGATCCCACCCTGCTCTTGTTGAGAGGGGCGATGCAGTCATTCTGTCTCACTGCTCAGTGTCTGTGATACTCCCTGCTCTCTCAGGCAGGATCATAGCTCCAAAGAAATGAACTCGAGCATCTCTGCCTGCCCAGTTATCAAAGCTGATCTGGACAGACAGACAGACAGACAAGCCAGAAACCTTCCAAAGCTCCAACTGTGTCCCAGCCCCCAGTCAGTGCCAAAGCAGCTTGGACAAAAGCTCTCCTGGAAAGGGAACCATGAGAGAGCTGGAGCCTCCTGGAGATACAGAACACAGCACAGCCTCAGGGTGCATTCAGGCTGCTGCTTTATGCTCTGTAAACCTGGCAGGGCTTGGCCGGTGAGCAACAAACCCCCCAGAACTGACCTGTGTATCCTTCAGAGCACCATAAACCCAGCTGCTTGAGCACAGCCTTTAGCATCTCCCTGGGGTAGTCAGGGGCTGGTGACAACTCCCCGAGGTGGGCAGCCCATGGGGCACGCTGAGCTGACACAGTCCATTCCCAGGGGTGTGCAGGGAGGTCCCCAGTGCCAGCAGAGCCCTGGGCAGGTGCCGTGGGGTGCAGGGCCTCCAGTGACACGCAGGAGGGTGGCATGTGCAGGACAAGGCAGCAGTTCTACTCACCACAGTGCCCAAATAGTCCATGCAGGGCTCAGCCTCCCCCAGAGCAATGGCCTCATCTCTCTGGCTGCCTTTGCCCAGCTTTTCTTTGGCCTTTTGGAGGATCTTCTCATATTTGGCATTGCCTGAAAGCACAGAACACCACCAATAGCAGCGGGGCAGCACAAATCCCATGGAAGACAAGAGCCCCATTCCCCCAATACACAAACTGCTTCAGCAATGTAGAGAAAGGAGATCCTGCTGCTTCTAACCCCCACCCCTCTTTCTTGCCACACAGAAGCAGCTCAGCCACAAAACGTGATGCAAACCCAATCCTGTCAAAATCCCTGCCAGCCTCTATTACAGCTTTCCTAAGCTTTCCTGCCCAGCCAGCATCTTCCCAGACCTCTGGCAAGCTGTGCAGGATGGGTCCTGCAGCAAAGCCCACATGGGCTTCCATGCCAGAGACTAAGGAAGCAACCAGAGGGCTGAGTTTGTCTGACAGCCCTGAAACCTCCAGGCCTGCTGGAGGTGCCTTTGAGCTGCCCTATGGGCATATGGCATGGGGGAAAGCCAGGGGACCTTCCTGGCGAGCAGACTCACCTTTGATGTTCCTGGGCAGATCCAAGTGGATCCTGGGAAAGGTCCCTTCTCCTTTCAGGGAGACTTTTTCTGGCTCCAGGTGACCCACTTGGATCTGGAAAGCCCTGCAGAAGACCCCAGGCACTCCTGGCAGGTAATGGACTTTCAGCACTTGCTGCTTGCCAGGTTCAATGTAACCCTGCAGGGCACAGAAGAGGGAGGGAGGGAGGGAGGGAGTGTACCAAAGAGGATTCAGTGGGGGGATGGCTCACATGACAGACACGCTGAGAAGACAAGACAGGTTCTCATACATAAGAAAACATCAGACATCACCACTTGCAGCTTTCTTGTATCCAAACGCCCCAGTCTCCTACACCAAGATGCAGTATGTCCTTCAGAGGCCTCGCAAGGCTGCCATCTGCAGCACAGCCTGCCCTCTGCTCAGCATGAGCACAGCTCTTCTGCTGACACCGTTTCCCCTCTGCTAGCCAGAGCCAGGCACAACAAACCAAAGCTCTTTCACCAGCTGCTCTGGAAGAGCAGTGAAGGGCCTGTGCTCCCAGCAGGGCCAGCAGCTCCTGGCAGCAGCTTGCAGGAGAGGACATCAGCATGTCATCCCTCAGATGCACAGGCACTGAGGAAGGTGGAAGCCACTTGGCCCTTTGGCTTCCTCTTCCCATTGCAAAAGGGCACCAAGACAGGAACACTGCTCCAGCTCTAAGACACCCAGGCAGGATGACAAGCTCGGATGGATGCTCCAGTGATGGCACAACCAGAGAGCTCAGCACTTGGCTTCAAATTGCTCCCAGAGCACTCCTGCCTCCGCCTCCCACTGGTGGTTGCTGTAGGATAGCAGAGCCAGCAGTGGCCAAGGCCAGTCAGCAGCTCCATTAGGACTGTGCTCGATGGACCTCCTCTGCCTCTGCAGCAATCACTCACAGCCCTGTCTCTCCTGGCTGGTTTTGGATGGGGGTTGTGTGTTCATTCCCCCTATTCTCCCCCAAAACTCTCTCGTGGGCAGCCTGACACAGGCCAGGTGAAACCCTTGTGCTACTCACCGTGCTGGGCACGACTAGGGGCACACCAGGCAGAGGGCTGGCTGCAGTGCCTGTGCCGGGGCTCAGCACCACAAAGGCAAATCCCAGCTTCCCGCTGTTCTGCAGGGTCATCGCTGCTTCCGTGACTTTGTTGAACACCTGAGCAGAGGACAGAAGAGCAGGAACTTAGAGGCACAAGTCCGCTGCTGAGAATTTCATTCCTCTTCCATTGGGTTGAAAGCAAAGGAACACAGCCCAGAAGCAGGCAGCACCCAGGAGAGATGGGCACTGGGCTCTCTGGGTTAACCTGCGCAACCCACGGCCACAGGGTACCTCTGAGCCCTACACAGGAACAGGTATTTGTGCCAGAGGTGCAACAACAACCATGGAAAAATCAGTAACAGACCAAGTAAGGGACACAAGCCCTCTGCACTTGAAGGTGTCTCCCAACAGCGAGCTGAAACACAGGAGGGATTGAGGCATTTCAGGAGAAAAGGCACCTGCACACAAGTATTTGTAGGCACAATACAAGCCAGAAGGGAGACAGACAGGGCAACGCACACAGGGCCAACAGATGGAAACAGCTGTGGGGGTTGTAACTGGAAAGAAGTACAGTGAGGGTTATTCTGGGACATTCTATCCAGCTACAGTGACTGGAAGCCCAAGTCAGATGCCTCCTTGGTTGATGAAATCAGGAGCATTAAAAGAGAGCACCTCCTTGGGCCTCTGGCTTTAGGAGCAGATCAGTGAATGGATGTCTGAGGGACACATCCCTCTGGAGATCACCACTGCGATCCTGCCTGCCCCACGAGGCAGCGTTAGTTACCTCCAAGAGGAGGGATTCCCAGCTTTGGGCTGGGCTGGGGTGGAGATGGCCATTAAACACCAGCTTGGAGGTATCGCCCAAATGTTGGACTTCCAAGCCACAGAGCCAGCAAAGCAGCTGGGAAGGGGGGAAAGCCCTCGACCCGGGTGGGCAGCAACCCACCAGTCATGGTTGGAGACAAGGAGCTCTGACAAGAGCGGCGTGCGGTACCTGCAGCCTGCAGTCGATCTCGCTGGTGTCCAGGAGGTAGCTGATGCGCGAGGCCTCCCCACGCAGAGCCACCTCGTAGCTCAGGCCTCCCTCCACCCTGCACAGCGCCGTGACCTGGGTGACAGTGTTGGCGTGGCCGAAGAAGGTGAAGGTGATGCGCTGGCTCTGGCCCGGCTGCAGCTCACCGTGCAGCGGCAGGATATCGAAACCCTGCAGGCAGGGAGGAGTGAACCACACGTGGAACACAGGAATCGATGCAGAAGAGCAGCCCTGGCTTGGGTCAAAGGACAGACGTAGCTGCAGGGGCCTCTTCCTCAAACACAGGCAACATCATCCTCATCTCACCCTGCAGCTATTCCACTTACCAATGGAGAGACCATGGGGAAAACCTTCTCCCACAGTCCTAATTAATGCAGCAGCTGATACACTACCTTTGTGGTGTCTCCTGGCAGCAAGAAGTTCTCTTTGCTGCAGAACTTGCCTTCAAAAACACCTTTTCCTGCCCTCAGAAGAACACGAGACTAGGAGCTGGGAGCCCGTGGAGCTGGGGGCAGCATCCAGCCCAGCTCCTCGCACTCCTGATGCTTTTCCCTGTCTCTGATTCACATCCTGCTCCCTCCAGATGCTGCAGCAAACGCTGCTGCAGGAATTTCCTACCCACCACTTGATAAGGACCAAGATGGATAATGTCCTCCATAGGTGCCGCAGAAAGAATGCTCTTGACCAGCCCTAGAACACCTCCCATGTGGCCTCTCCAATGACCAGCAATGTGCTTGTTAGGACATGAGGCCACTCTGGGAGCAGCACCCAGGACACCAGTGGGGGTGGGAGTATGTAACTGCTTGCTACACTGGAAACGTGGAATTGAGACAGATTCCCACTTACCTCCTCCACACCCAAGGCAAGGGGCTCTGTCTCCATGAACCTGGAAAAAGAAAAGAACTTTGCTCAGGGACCTTGCAGTGGGAGGGAGGGAAGTCTGCACAACACCTTCTCAGCAGGATGGGGCCCCTGGGTGGGCATCAGTGGTGTGAGCTCAGTAATGAGCTCCAAAACTGGGATGGAGCAGGTCAACGCTTGGGGATGATACTGCTATAGCAGCAGTGCAGGCAGCTGGCAACTGCTTGCCTCCAGATCTGCTCTCTCCTGCTGCATGATTCTGAAGATCCATTCCGCCACTGGAGAAAACACCTTGGTGCAAAGGCTTAGCTCAGCTTTGAGCTCTCTGAGGTCCAAGGGGTGAGGTTAGAGTTAGTCTGTCTCTAACCACGTGGGTCTACAACAAGAGTAACCATGAGAGATTCATGGCTCAGAAGTCAAAGAAGGGACACAGGTTGGTGTACACTGCCTATGTCCAACCACCCAGCAACAGTTGGATTGCGTTGCTCACATGATCTCTGCCCCAAGTAGCAGCAATGACCAAAGAGCAGGGAGGAAAGAATGGGTTGGACAATTAGAAGGAAAAAAATGTAAGCACATGAAGTCTGGTTGAGTCAGAGAAACAGCAGTTTTCTCTCCTGACCAAAATAAACGTGTGTGACTGATCCTGGGACTCTCTGATGACCAGCTCCAGCAAGGTTAAAGGTAGGGAAAGTTCCAATCTTTGATCTCACCTTCATGAGACCTGATGTTTGATTCCCTCCATGTCAGACTGAGTTAGAGCTGATAATTTAGAATACCAACAGTGCTTAGTGTGGACCAGAAATAACATCTGACACACTGCCCCAATGAGCACTTTGAGGAGGTAACACCTTGGAGACCATCTTCATTTCCAGCTCTGGCACAGAGCATCCCACGGTGTCTGCTGAGTGCCCCGGAGAGGGCGCAACACTGCTTAATGACCATGCAGAGCAGCAGAGGAGCTCTCATCAAGTCCACAGCACTAAGGAGCAGCCAAGGGGCTGTGCAAACCCTCTGGAGGGGTGGGCACCCCTCAGCAGGGAGCAGGACAGAGGCTGTGTCCTGCTGAGGTGCTCAGGACCCTCCGCTGCCAACAATGCAATGACTCAGCACCCACCACAGAATAAGCACCGGCAGGCTCAGGCCCAGCAAAGCCAATTCAAGCAGAGACAGGGCAATTAACAGCTGAAAACGGATTCACATTCACATGTCCAAACACCTAAACTGGTTCTAATCCAAACTAAGAGTAAAGAGAAACAGGCCACTGGCCAACAAGTGGCTCCAGAGGAAATTAAGTCCGCACAGGCTTCGCTGTGATGTGCTTGTTTCTCTGCTATTAGAAAACACATGCATTGTTCTATCACGTCTAAATCCATCTCTAGATTATCTATTAATTAGAAAGATCTCTAGCAAACCTACCTAATCAAAACTAGATTTTCCCTTTAGCTTGGAATTAAGCCTGATCTAAGTTACAGGAGAGGGCAGGGGGCTCCCAGCAGAGCTGACAGCCCTGCTCACCTCCCTCCAGCTGCTTTTACAGACTTGTCTCTGCATTTTAGGGTCTGCTCTTGAAGGTGTTGTGCATCAAGAAGGGCCCCACTAAAGACTTGGTGTTACTTGGTAAGACTCAGCTGAGAACTGGCCACCCCAGTGCCTTGGTTGTCTCCCCCAAGCCCTCCTAGTAGCCACAGCTCAGCTCCAGTTCCCAAGAGGTCACCTCCTGCAAGCCAGCTCCCAATTCCCTTCACACAACTGCTTCTTGATCAGTGCTCTTGTTTGTAATAGCAGCACTGTAGTGCCCCATGGTGAACTTTGCTGGGTTTCCTAGGGCATTACAGAAAACCATTTGCTACTGTCCTTCAAACTGCCCACACCAGACTTTTGTACTATGCAGAGAAACCACAGGAGGAACACTAGGAATGTGCTTCTAGATGTGCTTCAGCACCACTACAAGATTGCTCTTGGGCTTGGAAACCACAGACCACCACTGGATGGTCCCCCTTCCCAGGGATGTCCATACAAGGGCTCCCTCCAGCATCTACAGCTGGACCTAAGGCCACAGCAGAACCTGCCATTCCTCTCTGAAACTCTAAATAGCTCTTCTGTGAATGTGATGTGCAGTTCAACAGATGAACACTCACTTCAAGGGGGTGTCTGCCTCAGGCCACAAAGGTCTGAGAAAGCAGCTTTCTACATCAGCCTTCCTACATCCAGGAACCCATCCAGGGCTACAGCAAGGCCGAGCAAGGGGCTGGGACAGCAGCGTGTCACTATGGTGGCAGTGCCTGGGTAGGATCTTAGTACAAAATGATAACAGATGGGCTTAGCAGGGAAGGAGAAGAGGTCACCTTCTACATCTACTTATCCAAGCGTCGAAGCATGGCTTTGTAGCTGCAGAGATAAAGCAGGACTCCAGCTTATGGCTAGGTGAACAAGGTCAGTAGTGGCCTACAGTCCCAGCTTTGTTGGACAATGCTGTCTCCTTCCCAGCATGAAACTGGCGGAGATCACCTATTCCCTGAGCACCTTGGCTGAGCACAACTGAGAGGTGTGATTTCCTCAAAGGAAAGTTGAACACAATTTGGCAGATCAGGCAAACGGCCTCGGGCTTTGCAAACCACAAACAGGACATCAGGAAGAAGAGCTTCCAGGAGAAGGAAAGCTGCACATACCTCACTGGGTTCACCAGGCTGTCCTTCAGGAATGACCAGTGGTACTGGACAACCAGTGGGCTGCAGTTGGTCATCTCCATGTAACGCACATCCTTGGTGTCATTCAGGATGCAGCCAAAGTCCTGGGCCCTGGTCTGGAGCTGGAGATTCGGGAAGTAGACTTCTCCCTGAATGGTGACCTGCTCTTCATGAGGATGCTCCAGGAACGTGATCTTTAGAGCCTTCTCTGCTGCCTGGATAAGCAAATCCTCCTCATAAGCAGGGTTAAATCCGATGCAGAGTTGAAGTTCCTCCCCTGTCCTCATCTTCATGGGCTGCAAGGAGATGAAATGTTCGAGGTGTGACCCCAATACGCTTCATCCTTCATTTTCTTCACAGTGTCTGACCAAGCACCACACTTTTGTCTGAAGCTGTCTGAGGCTCAAGGTTCTGTGCTCTGCACCAATACAAGAGGAAATCCGCATTGGTCTCCTGAATTCTGGATCCGCAGAAGCCACATGCTAAACACAACCAAAGCAGCACTCTGGCATCCAGGGCTTCCCCCTGGCTCTGGAGGAACTCCTTCATCCTGCAGCCCAAGCGCAGAGGCTTTGCAGCCTCACGCATGCAGGCGCTGATCACTGGCAGGGCACAGAAACGGTGGCTGGACCTATGACAACACATGCCTCGCAGAGCCCATGCCCAAACACCTTCCACAAACACCAGGGCAGGAGCCAGACAGCAGCTGGAGAAGCCCACCTCAGCCTTCCCAAAGAGAGCAAGCTGCTCCCCAGCTTATCTGAGGATGGCTGCTAGAGAGCTGGCATGCTTTCCAGGAGACACCTTTCCTACAGCTTGCCCAGACGTAGTTACCTGCTCCCTCCTCCTCCTGTCTTCAAGCCAGGAGGTCTCTTCCCAATTCAGATGGCATTCTGTTTCCTTCAGCAGCTCGTTTTACATCTGATTTAGCTCGGGCCACTTTACTGCAGACCCTACAGAACACACTTCCCTGCCGGACGACCTCCCAACAGAGACACACCACCACCTTCATCCCTCTTCAAAGCTCAGCAGCAAGAAGGTCCGTGGCTGCTCACTGGAGCATCTGCAGGGAGAGGCTGCTGGTCCGCAGTGCAGATGGAGAAGGGTTGCTCCAAGACAAGGACCATGCTGAGGGGCAGGCAGCAGATGTTCTTTACAGAGAGAGGCTTATACTGAATAGTCAGGACATCACCGGGGTGCTACAGAAACAGGAGACAAGAAAATACGACCTTGAAGTGCCCATGGACCTCCTCCCCTTCAGATGCGTTTCAAATTTTCCGACCTCAAAGTGCATCCATCTCTATTTACTCTTTTGATTGGTTTCTGGAAAGTTTGCCCTCCAACTGTATCAGACGCTTTCACATTTAGAACCCACAGCATCCCCCAGGGGACAGGGAACCAGGCTCACGTCCAGATGAGGGAGCAGACCCCCAGAGGAGGCAGCTGCTTCAACAAGATCCAAACCAGGAAGTGAACCCAGTCTGGCTCAAGCTGTGTGTCCTCTCCTGGGCAGAGAGGACACACAGGCACAAGGCCATTTCCGCTCACATACAGTAGTTTCTTACCACCTTATCATCTTTGCCAGGCCCATAAAGCAGTGATGCTGCTCAGAGAAGACAAGCAAGCAGGATATGGCCTGCAGCGGAGAGCCTGCAGCAGCCTGAGGTCAGCTTTGAACAATCACGGGCACATGCAGACAGCTGCAAACCTCAACAGTCTGGCCACAACCTGTTGCCCCTGCTCCAGTGACAAGATGTTGCAGTCTCAAAGCTAAGCTCAGCCTAAGCCTTTTCCTCCTGTCCATGCATTTCTTCGGGCTTTCTACATGGTTTAGCTAAACTATACAGCGGTTGGGAAACTAATTCTGGATGCAGCGACATCCAACTCCTGCAGTGTCGTAGCACTCAGACACCAGGGGGAGCTGAAAACCTTCTGATTAGATGGGCAAGAAAGGCAGAATAGAGCTACGGAGACTGTCCCCAGCCCCAGCGGGGTGAAACAATAATCTCGGCATTCATCACAAACGCCTGGCCTGCTTTAAATCAACAGCTAAAGGTCCATGGACTTGAAAAAGCTGTTGAACTTCCTCCTTTGGAGACAGGCACACCCCTGCCACACCAGTCAGTGCCAGGATGCAATCCAGAGACTCACCTTCTCCACCGAGAAAGTGATTTCTCTGGTGGATATTTGCAGAGCAGGAGCAATGAACTCGCACATGACGTCCACCTGCATGATCAGATTCTTCACTCCCTCCTTGCCCACGATGGCGTGACACAGCAGCTTCTCCTTCACCACCTGCAAGTGAGTCACACGGCACCCAGGGGGTGTTATCAGGGTGTCCAGAAAACACACTGCATTTCTGAGCCACCTACCCACAGACCCCATTACTGCAGGAAGTTACAGCCATTGGTCTCCTCAGGAGCCCTCTCTTCTTTATATGCTGCATCCTCTTTGTTCTGCACTCACATGTCCCTGATGTCCTTGGTGAGGCACTGGAATGGGCTGCCCAGGGAGGTTGTGAATGCTCCATCCCTGGCGGTGTTCAAGGCCTTGGGTGACATGGTTTAGAACGAGGTGTCCCTGCCCATGGCAGGGGGGTTGGAACTTGATGATCTTAAGGTCCTTTCCAACCCTAACTATTCTATGATTCTATGTTACAACCCAACCGCCACGTAACGCCCTCAGGAGTCTTGTGCTGCCTACAGCTGTCAGAACAATCCCTGTCCCAAATGCTTATTGCTTTGGCTTGTCCCATTGCCAAGCAAAATGCTTACAGAAAGCTGTAGGAACTCATTAAAAAAAACAAACCAAACTGTATGAAGGGAAACAGGTGATAGAAGGATCAATACCAGCAAATCCTCCCTTGGAAGTTTAGTGGAAAGGATCCATGGGAAAACCCCAAACAGCCAGCCTGCCTTCCTAGGATGTACTGTGTCCTCCTAGAGCTGGCTTTAAACCAAACCTCCCCAGGAAACAGATGTCTTCCACTTGGCACGAAAACCTTCTCCTTAAGCTGGATGCTCTTACATCCAAGACTTTTCCTGATTCCTCATGGTTTCACTTCCCCACATTCCTCCCTTTATTCCTCTCTCTTCCCTCTGATACACCACCACAACCCAGCTCCTCCTCAGAGCCCACACACTTCAGAATCACCTGTGCTGCATGTGCAATGCAGGGTCTTGGGCTTCTAACCAACCTCAAGAGTATTAAGTTCTCAAGACCATGGGAAGGTGGAAAACCCACTCCCAGGGTCTTGGCTTGGACTGCAGGAGCCAGGCAGCCAGAGCTGTGCTCACAGGTGTCCATCTGGCTTTCCAGGCAAAACACCCTGACCAATTCATTTCCTTTCTGGTACCTTCTTCCCTCTTCAGCAAAGCCTTATGGGCTCAGGACGGCACATGGACAGTTCCATCGGAGTCAACCAGCTGAGAAATCAAGTCTTCCTCAAGCTATCACTGAGGCAATCCTTTAAAACACCTCTCAGACTCTAGTAGCAGCAGGAGCTTAATGCAGATTTATTCCCCATTCACTTAAACACTTGTGCCCAGTGCTCCTGGAGCCAGGGAAGGCACACCAGGCTCAGATGGCAGCTCCTCTGTAGAGCTGGATTTCCTCCCACAAAGAAGGATCCAGGGAGGAGAACACTCAGTGACCCTGCTGAAATCTGCCCCTCTGAGCTGCCACCCAAGGGTGCTGCAAGACACAAGTCAAGCTGTCAGTTCTAGTGATCCCTGGAACAGTTTCCCATTTGGACGGACATCATTTGGATCATTAGAGCTGGTACACTGGGTTTATTTTTCTCATCCCGGTCTCCGTGCCAGACAAGCTCCCGGCCCCTCTTTCTCTACAGAGGAAAACCAATGCTGCTCCCAGACACTCCCTACCTTCCTAGGTGCTTTGTTTCACTCGTTGCTTCCCCACATAGACAACTTGCCATCTCTTTAGTTACTTTCTGCCCGGGCTCCCACTCTACCTGTAACTTTAAGGCCAGCTGAGAAAACTGGGGTTGTTCAGCCTGGAGAAGAGAAACTACGTGGAGACCTCATAGCAGCCTTCCACTATCTGAAGGGGGCCTATAAGGATGCCGCACACGGACTCCTCTTCAGGGACTGCAGCAACAGGACAAGGAGTAATGGATTTAAACTCAAAGAGGGAAAGTTCAGATTAGATAAAAGGAAAAGGTTCTTTACTGTGAGGATGGTAAGGCACTGGCACAGGTTGTCAAAGCAGTGGTGAATGCTCCATCTCTGGCAGTGTTCAAGGCCAGGCTGGACAGAGCCTGGGGTGACAGTGCCTTCAAGCCGTGTTTTGCTCCCACCAAGTTGGCTTTACGGTAGCCATGGAACTCAAAAAGCCTCAGCAACTGATGGTGGCGAGCACAGAAAGCAACTGGTGCTGCCACGGTAACTTATGGCAGGAAACCAGGTTCTCAAAAGCACTTGCCCATTTGCTCAGGCAAATATCAAGGGGCTGCAGAAATGCCCTGATGCGGAACTCACCTGGGGGGTGCTGCAGGAGCCTTCCAGCACCATCTCTGCTGTCTGGCCAGCCATGAGCTCCGTCCTCAGTGGCTGAAGCTTAAACACGGGGGCGCAGGAGGAAACCTTGCTCTTGGTGTTACTGATGGGAGGGAGATGATTGCACTGCTGAAGTGTGGTGCTACCTTCTGTGGTCCAACAGAGCAGATGGGTGCGTTGTCCTTTGTTTGTCATCTTGAAGCGGTAACAGCAGGGATCCAGGCTAGAGGAGAAGCAGAGACACAAAATGGCAGGGGAGCTGCTATTTGCCAGTGGTCGCCCAGCTTCAGCACCCTGAAGGCACGACCTGACTGCACACTCGGCAACAAAACCACCTCCAAGAAGGCTGACAGAGCGCAAAGCTTCATCAAAAGCCAGACCTTGGCTGCCCCTAGGTTTGTCACCACTCAGCAGCTGCTCTGCTTGCACCCAGCAAGGAAGAGTTTAATACACAGCCTGCCCCACATGCAAGTGGCTGGATGGAGCATCAGCCTCGCTGCCATTCCACCTTCCCCTTGGCAGCTGTTGCTCATGCCCCTGAGGTGTCTCTTAGGGAGCATCCAACCCTCATTGCCCCAGTATACCACCCTCTGGGGGCAGCTCTGCAGCCGACAGCAATGGCAACAGCTCCAAACTGAGCCCGCAGGCAAAGACATCAAGGGGGGCAGAAGACAACTACATGAATCACATGGACACTGTTCCTCCATTGTGCAGCCAGCTTGTGGCTTCACTGAGCACACGAAAGTCTGGACAAGCACCAACCTCCCTGCAATGTCCCTGCTTACGTGCATGGCTCGTGGGTGCATATTTTACCTCCCCAACTCTATCCGAAGTACTTAAGGTACGATTAACCTGCTCTTTTTACCCCAAGAATTCAGGTATCGAAGCAGCATGGACCCTCTTTGCAGCCAGAGAAAGGAAAAGGCACCACAAGAAGACTGTTCTTCTTGCCTGAGGAGGTCTCCAACACAAGACAAACAGCACATTTTTCCTCCTGTCTTTAAGAACATGCCTGCTTTCAGACACACGTTGGGATCAGTGAATCCTCTCCAGCTCAGCAATTTCAATTACGACTCTTCATTTATCCCACTCCACCTCAGCAGACTTCCACACTTCCACACTTCCTCCCCCTTCTAGAGCTGGTCCTGCATTCACTCTCGCTTGCCCGTGCCTCGGGAAGCAGGCAGGAGAAACCAGGAAAGAGCCACCATGTCTAATAAAGAGCAACTGGGCACACAGTGGGGTAGAGGAGCCAACTGGGGGGTGACACAGGGCAAAGAAATTCTGCTGCTCCTCCAGGGTTCCCGGGCAGAGGGGAAATAAACCAGCACCATTCATTCAGTCCAGGAGCTGCTAACAAGCTACTGTCCAGGCTTGCTGCTGCTGTGAGATGATACTCCAGAGGGAATGGGAAAGCAAGCAATATCACTGCAAAGAGAAACCTGTTTATACTTGCAAGGCAGCATTTCCCAGCTGGAGGCTTCCGGGACCTGCTCTTTTCCTCCAAATCTTTGTTCAATAAAGTAAGGAAATGAATGGATTATGACTAAAGACATAATTTAGCAGCAACAACTCAGCAACTGGTCTCCAGCTGGGTGGCTTTTCAGAGTACCTAACGACTTTCAAATGGCTGTAAAATGTTTCTAAAGGAACCCCTGTGGCTTCAGGGAAGCAGAGCCAGGACCTTGAGCACTGAGGAAGCTTGAGGGACTGCAGCAGAACTCCTCCGTGCTGAGCCCATGGGGAAGAGGGAGCCGAGAGATTCCGTACCTGAAGCAGGGTCCCAGCTTGAGCTCCGGGCCAAAGGGTTTGTCAATGACGATCATGGTGCCAACGCCAACAGCCTGGACGGGGATGGTGTAGGCACGACTGTTCTCAATGAACGGGGATGGTGTAGGCACGACTGTTCTCAATGAACAGCAGCACCTCGTCCTTGAATTGCTCCATGTCATCCAAGTTTGCAGTGACAGCCACAGACACCTCACCCTTGGCAGGGATCACTCCTTGACTGGGTGCAATACTCCAGCAAGAGTTTTTGCCAGCCTGGAAGACAACCAAACACTCATTTAGGATGGAAACCACGGACCTGGCTGCCACCAGCCAAGGGCTGCACAGACAACACGTTCACATCAAGCCGGTGGCTGTGAAGGTGTCACTGACATTCATGTACAACTTCTCTGGTTCATGCTGACACAGGGCAGCTGGCTTGGAAAGGAGCCCTGAGAGCTCTGCTCCAGAGGTGAACCTGCGAGTCTGCTCCCTGACAAAGCTCATTTATCAAAGCTTGGCAACAAGCCAGGCAGAAAATTGGACCCCAGAAACTATTCCTGAAGAATGAGGATAGGCGTCTCGACGGAGCCAGACCTTCAGCTCTCTGGGGTGACCCAGCACAGCCCTGCTGGGCCCAGCCAGGCCAACAGCCCATGCCAGGGGAGGAGGGTTTCTATCCTGTCCTCATTCTTTCAGTCAGCATCTGCTCTGGCTCCAAGGGGCACACAGTGCAGTGCTCAACAGGAGACCTGCCAGGGACACAAGGCTCTGCCAAGACACTTTCTCTTGGGTTTCTAGGTCAGCTTCTGCCTGCCCCCAGTCCAGCCTGTGTCCCAGAGACAAGAAACCTCTTGGAACCACGTCACAAAATCCCCCCATTTTTGAGACAAATACCCAACCTCTGATAACATCTCTGCTACTTGCTTATCCTTGAGTGTGCCGGAAAATGATGCTATAGCTGCATGCACTGGATGCACAAAGACAGTGGCTATTTCTGACCCTGTAGGAGCTTCTTGTACTATTGGACATCAGAGTTCCTGAGTAACCAGTAAGGGCTGGGATCCGCCACTTCAGAAGTTCACCACGACGATCAGAATCTTATCCCAGCACAGAAGTCCATCGTGAATGAAAGCTTCCACAATTTGGTTACAATGGACACCAGTGTGCAGCTGATGGGTGGAGGGAGGGAAGGAGAGAGGGAGGAAGGGATGGATAGCTGCCCTAAGGGATGACTGAGGAGACACCACAATCAGTTCTCTTGAAGCTACTTACAGCTGATTCACTGAAGTGATCTGGTCACTCTGGCCTTGCACAAGTGACAGAGGAAGCAGAACTCCACATTACAAATGCAGCTGCACTTGATCAAGCCATAGCTCTAGCAAGAGCCGTAGCTCTAACAACAGCATTCCCACTTTGTCAGGCTCACTCACTGTCCTTGTAGGACTGCTCATGAAGGGGAAATAAACTCCGTCCTGCACCAGCTGGGTTCAGAGCCTTGTCCCGAGTGGTTTAGCATTCCCGGTGGGGGGGGGACCCTCTGTTCTTCATCTCAAAGCTGCTTCTTATCCACACAGTCAGTGGCAGGAAACAGCCCAAAAGCATCCCGAGCCCTGCAGGAGGCAGAGATCAGAGCCTGAGGCTGGCTACATGCTCCCACCACTAATCGGCCTCCTCCTGGCTCCTCAGCATCAGCAGCTCCTCAGCACAAGCATGGGGACCACTGTGGTTTAGTCTCTGCCCCGAGCACCAGCAAGGGGATGTTTCATGGAATCAAGGGGCAGAGTTTGTCTCCATTTGTGTTCCCTGTCCACAGCTCACCCCTCTATGATCGCATCTGCCCTCCCTGCCAGGCTGGGGAGACCAGGGACACTGCTCTGCACCTCGCGGCTCCTCAGGACACAGGTACGGCTTGGTCTGCTGCCACCAAGCACAACATTATTAACCAAACTCCCCCTCCTTTTCTTTTGGGAAAAGCTCTCAGCTTGCTTCTAGAAGCACAGCTGTCTGGAAGACTTCTAACCCTCTGCAATTTAGTTGCCAATAGGCACAGCACAATAGGACATGTTTGGTTTCCCCTGATGAGCACAGTAACAACTGCTTTGGTTACCAGCAAGTCAGAAAGGGCACTGAAGGAAGCAGCTGCTGAGGGCACTAAGGTAGTTGCTCTTTGCAGAGACAGAAAGCAGATTTTTATGGTGTGGAGAAAGAAACCTGCCTGGGAATCCCCCACTTTGAGGTCCTATTTAACCCCCAAACAGCTGGAAAAGCAGCAGGAGGTAAATTCACGCCCCTCCTACTTGCCCAGGGGGCTGAGCCTGCCCTCTCACACACTGCTGGATGCTTCATGCACAGACACAAACGAGTCCCCAGCAACAGGCCTGGGTGAAGCAGCTCCAGAACTTCAATAACCCAGCCTGCAGAAGAACAAACTTCCTCTGAAGCCCCTTACAGACTCCCCTCCGGTGGGGAGCACCCCCCAGCCCCAGCACACTAGCCTTTCCTGGACTCATCAGCCCCTGTCAGAGGATCCCACAACCTCCTTCTGCTCCGCAGCCTGTTCCACTACGCAGCCTCCAGGAATTAAAACAGTCTGCAGCCACATGCTCTACAATGTTACAGAGCCCACACGCTCTGCAGGTACACGGCCCTTCCAAGTCTACTTCTGGGCAGCAACCCAGCTGGTCTGACCCCCATGGAGGTGTGAAACCCACTTCACCGTAAGCACCTTGAGGACAGACCTCTCAGTTCCAAAAATAAAGACCCTCGCAGCTAAACACCTTCCACAAATTAAAGGGAGAACTTGCACAGATGAACTCTTTTCTGCTCAAACATCTCTGCAAACTCTGTTTTACTGACTGGTGCCCCAGCTACAACTGCCCACAGAGCCAGGCTCCTCTTGCTGCACTGGGATGGAACATCTTGCTTTCTCTCTCAGACACATCTCAGAGATGTGGAAATGTTGCATAGAAATAAATAATCCACTCACAGGCTGCTATGGGCCAGTTACTCGCACTGGAAAACAGCCCCAGTGACACTTACCATCTTTGCTGAGAAGGATGCAGCGATGACAGACTGATTGGAGAGGTGGAGGGTTCGGGAAGCATCTTGGAGAACTTTGATGGTGCCAAAATTTATCTGACTTGGGCACACGTGGACAACTGGTCCTTCTCCAGTGCTCAGGAAATGGATTTTCTGCTCCAGGAGGCAGGCAGGAAAAATTAACAACAGTGAAAGTTTAGAATGACTGGACAGCTCTAAGGGTGCTCGTAGGCTGGGGGAAATTCTGACCGTTTGAAGCTGTCAGGGTTGTGAGGCTGAAACAGGAAGGCTGGAGCAAAAGTGGCACCTGGAGTGGTCCCTGCGGATCTGAAAGCCACAAGATCCCATTATGAGGGGATACAGAACCCTCATCTCCCATGCATGCTTTTCACACCTCCTCCATGCTGTCAGCTCTCCTTCCCATACCCTGTGCCTACGCCTGTTCCTCATACTGCTCCATCACACCATAAACCACCCTCCCTGACTGCTGTGGCTGCACGGCCACGCTGCACAGGATCTTCTGCAACCTTCTTAAAGCTTCTCCTGTGAAAACCAACACAGGTTGGAACCAGAGCTCTTCACAGTAGAGATCATGCAAGCTAGTTGCCTTTCATTTGTGCTTGTGTGCATTCCTGGTATTAGTTCTTTATTGCATTGATACATTAATTATTAATTGCATCATCCGAGCAGTATTTTTTCTGTTGACAGCCTGAGACCCAAAGGTTTGTTCCTGCAGAAGGGACACAAGCTAGTGGAGGAGGAATGTGGATCCTTTTGCTAAATCCCCTTCTCACATCACTCAAACCAATGAGAATTTATCCAGTCTGGCTGGATTTACCCAGCTCCAAACACCCCAAGCCTTAACTAGGCTTGTAGAGCCTGAAGAAGGGAAGGGTCTGGGGAGACCTTAAAGCAGCTTCCAGTGCCTAAAGGAGCCAACATGAAACCTGGTGAGGGGCTTTGGATAAGGGCCTATGTGGACAGAACAAGGAAAAATGGCTCTAAATTGACGGGGGGGGGAGATCAAGATGGAATCCTGGGAAGAAGTTCTTCCCTGTGAGGGGTGGTGAGGCTCTGGCACAGGCTGCCCAGAGAAGCTATGGCTGCCCCAGCCCTGGCACTGTTCAAGGCCAGCTTGGATGTGGCTTGGAGCTATCAGGTTTAGTGGAAGGTGTCCCTGTCCATGGTAGGGGGTTGGAACTGGATGAGCTTTGAGGTTCCTTCCAACCCAAACCAGTCTGAGATGCTGCAATGTCTTGCTTTCTGGAATATATGGCAGCCACTCCCCTGAGCTCAGGTTTGCATCAGATGAGCCATACCTTAGGATTTGCCACCAGCACAGGATGCGTAAGAGGACAGCAGCTGCTCTGCTGGCCCAGAAAGCTCTGCAGGAGTCAGCTACCAGGGAACTCCTGAAGCTGCATTCAAGACATAAGGCAGAGCTAGAGAAAATGACATCCAGAAACTCCCATTTGTGCTGGCAATACCCAGCCAGGTTTTGACCAGCATTTGCTGGCTGCGAGCAGCAGCCGAGCACGAGCACAGTGCCTTGAGGATGGACTGACCGGGCACAGGGTCACTCAGTCCCATGTGTTGTGTCTTTAGGGACAGCCACGATCCTCCAGTTGAAATGCTCACCCTTTGGGCAAAAGATTGACATGTTCACTTCCACGTCAAAAAGATTAAGTTAAGGTGAACTTTGAAACTAAAAACTGTTAGCCCAAGGGTAAAAGCTGTGCAAGAAACCAACAGTTAAAAAGCAGCTTGCAGTTAAACAACTGGTTATTCTAGTGGGGAGAAACTTTCCTCTTCAAGGGAAATATTCCTTCTATATAAATAGAAGTTGCTCATAAGAGCAACCGTGGTCAAACTTCAGACCTCCAGCACTGCCGGGCCTTCCTGTTGACTGTTTACACGCATATCCACAACAGGGTGGAATGGAGATACTTGGTGGCATCCACGGGATTTAGTATCAGCATTTCTGTTCACTTTAAGAAAAGTTTAAATGCCTGCAAGTACTTTCAAAATGTCAGCCTTATTTGTCGTTGCAGAAAGCATCAGGCTCCCAGCAACCCTCTGACATCCTCTTTCATGCTCCAAGATTTGACATTATAAAACAGCTGCTTCAAAAGTTAGTACCATTTTGAAGTTTCATTAACTAGATTTGTTCTTGGTTTCAGCCAGATGAAGCCAGGAGACTACAGGCACCATCCCCTTGTCTACATTTTGTTGTCATTGCTGGTGTTGCAAACAACATCTTTTAGCAGGCTCCAGCCCAGGAAGGCTTTGCCTCATCCACTTCCAAGCTTGGTGAACAAACAAAGACTCTGTGCTCCAGGTGCAAGTGGTGTGGAGACTGGTGTTCTTGGTGGGGCTTTTGGCAAGGAGATCTGATGGATGGATGTTGCTCACACATGATGGACCTGACTTTCAGCAAAGCTGCATTCCAGCTCTGGACAGAACATACCTTCGGCCCTGTTTCCAACACAGCACTCACTGTAGCTGGATTCATGATGTCCCTGCCTGCTCCTCAACACAAGTTCTAATGAAGCGGCAGCGGCTGTTCAGCTGTAACAAATACAGCAGAGTACAAGAGCCAGGGACTGCTCTGGGTTTCAGATTAGGCTTGTTATCCTGTCTCACATACCCATAATTAAATGCTGTGTCAGACACTTCCATACTGACACATGGGAGTGTCAGACACACCACCTAAGGGGATACCAGCCTCCCTCTTCTCCAGGCATTAGTGTTGCTTATGCCACGAACCCCTTATTTCCTTGTAGACAGCAGCCATAGACCATTTTCCCTGGAAGAACCCCTGCACACTTTACATCCCACCAAAATGAGAGGCACAAAGGCACCCATCTGCCCCAGCACTCACCAGTGGGGATTCTTTACTCCCAAACACCGCAAGATGAGCAACGGTGTCCTGCTTTCCCGTCACCTGGACTTCCAGTCTGAACGGGATCTCCACCGAGCTGTGAGGCTGGATAATCCCACGGGGCTCAGGGCTGGAGTACCACACAGAAGCAGCATCCTTATTCTCCTATAAGGGACAGAATCAAACACGACTTCAGAGTGACCTTTGAGGAAACTTTCAACTCTTTAACATCTACCACAACGTCTACACACACACGTCTAAAAATCCCTAGGAGAAAGCAGAAAGGCACAACTCAAGATGCAAGACATGTACGGGTTCAGCATCCTGAGGGGGTCCAAAAGCTGCTGCCTCCACAACCCCCATCCCGTGCTGGCAGCCTCCTTGTAGCAGCTTTTCACAACCCTACAAGTTCTCCTGCATTGAAAGGTTCCTGGAGAGCTTAAGCTGCTTCCTGAAGTAGATATTCAGGTAGCTTCCTGTTCCCAGCTAACCTTTAGGGTTGAATACAAACCAGCAACATCTTAACCAAACCTGTTTTTTCCTTAACAACAAACCCCTAGGTGACACTGGAGGCAAGAGGCGGATGCGATGCCAAACCTGAGGAAGAGCCCAGTAGCAGCCTGGAAGGTTGCTGTTGTTTCACAAGGGTCAGCATCTGCTGATAAGGGACTTTGAGAGAGCATCGTCCAAACGTCAGAGCCGGCTGAAGCACTCACAGCGGGGGAATGACACATCTAGGCAGAGAGATGAGCAAAAGGGAATCAGATTCTGAGAGTGTTGCTTACTCGTTTGCTTCTCAATGAGCACCAAATGGAGGACATGTTTGTCACTGTCAAATACACATTTGATATCCCTACAGTGACAAGCAGCCTTTAATTTCTTTTTATCCAACAACCTCTTGCAGAAGAGGGGCAGGCCCTGAGTCTCAGCATCACAAAAGCTGCTCAGTGCCCAGGCAGAGCACGGTGCCCTGTCCCAGGTCACCTTTGCCCCTCCTTTGCCCCAGGAGGCTTGCAAGGACCCTCTCAATGGCCCCAGCAAGGTGTGAGCTCTGAGGGAGCTTTCCCACCGAGGAGCAGCCCTCGCCAAGGCTCCAGGAACACCAGACTCCAGGGTCTCAGGGAAAACACCGCTGTGTCCCTGCCTGAAATCCAGCCCTTTACCCCAGCAATGCAGGGTGCAGGCCACCACCTGCCCTGCGCCGTGAGCCATAACCCTCTCCCAGGCCCTGTGGCTGCTCATCATGGACTGCTTGCCATGCGCTGTTCTTCTCCTGTCTAGCTGGGTAGAACTAGCTCATTGAGCAATGCTCCTTCTTTGGAGCTGAACCCAGCCAGCTCTGTGCAAGGCAGCACCACTTGCTTGTGGCAGATGCACAGGGAAAGAAAATGGGCTGCAAGGGAAGCACTGGTACCTGGCTCTGACGGGCAGTGATAACACCTCTCTGCCAACACCATCCACATCTACCACCAGGGCCACCTTGTATCTCTTCACAGTGTTGGAGCACAGGGTGACCTGGAAGACAAGAGCATCAAATACTTCAGCACTCCCAAAACCCGTCATCCATACACAGTGCCCTCCAGATCTCATTCCACAGCAAGGAAAGGGAGGATTTAGTAGATATTAGGAAGGTGAGATATCAGGAAGAAGTTCTTCCCTGTGCAGGTGCTGAGGCCCTGGCACAGGGTGCCCAGAGAAGCTGCGGCTGCCCCATCCCTGGCCTTGTTCAAGTCTAGTTTGGATGTGCCTTGGAGGAACCTCGTCTGGTGCAAGGTGTCCCTGCCCATGGCAGGGGCCTGGAACTGGATGAGCTGTAAGCTCCCTTCCAACCCAAAACAGGATAGGAGTCTATGATGTTTGCTTATAATTCTTCTGCTGGTTCACGCATAGAGCACAGTCTCTGGCAGTAACAGAAGTCTTTGGACAATATCTGAATTACTGAATACACTTTGGGGTTGCCAGGGCAGATGTAGAGCCCAACACTAGTGCACATCTCTTGCTGCCATGATGCTCAGAGCCAGCAGTGCTAAAGCCCCTCAACCTCACCGAAGCTCCAGCTCCACCTCTGAAGCACGCAGGGCTGGACTCTTCCCGTACCTGGATATCCATGTCTCCCTTGAAGCAGATGGTCCCTGTGAAGGGCCTGACAGTAAATCCAGCTGGCTTCTTGGCACCTCGGGCTCGCTTTCTCCACGATGCACCAGTGCTGTCTGACACCTGAGCAAAACTGGTCACACTGGGTGCTCCCGAGCCGTCCCCAGGAATGCGAAGGTTGAAGCTGAAGGGCACCGAGGAAGTGTTAGTGAGGCGGCAGCACAGGGTGCGAGGAAAGCCTGGAAATAAGGACACAACAGGAGTTTAGTATCCCGTCATTCCTGGGGTGGACATCCTGCTGTGACAGAACTGCGCTTGGAGTTTGCCTCCTCTCAATGGCAATTACAGCTGATTGAGAACCTCTGTGGGGAAGTCGTCGTCACTTAAGTTCCCTTTTACGCTTGTCACGCAGAAATGCCCACTCTGTGTGATGCTCAACACCACAAGTGTTTCTTGCTAACTGTGAGGAGCTCTCACCTCCCCCAAACCAGCACCAATTCATTCCCGACGGTGACGGTGCATCCAGAACATTTACTCTGAAAAGTCAATCCAGAAAAGTCCCTGTCAACTCCACAAACACTCCCGCAGTTTTCAAGAGGTAAAAGCAGTATGTTGTCATCAAAGAGATGGTCCAGGAAAGGAAAGCAAGGATGAAATTGGGAGCCACAGCATGATGCAGAGCACTCTAAAGCAGTTTCTCCAGACAGGAACCTTGATGCATCTCCTGGTTTGGGACAGCCAAGAGTGAGCCTGGGCCAGCTCACAGCCCACTTCACTGGAGGCAAACCTGGTGCTTGCTCAAGAACAAGCAGGACCTGTGTCTCACTCTCCCGAAGGAGGGGGGACACACAGCCATGCTGCACACTGGCTTTCATTGCCCCACAAAGGCTGACATGGCTTCAGCTTTGGTACTTGCTTTCCATAATGGAAGCCACTGACACAATCACAGCTCATCTGGGGGTTGAGTTCACATTTAAACTTTAGACCATCTCAGCGAGAAGTCCTCTGTGAGACTGAGATGGAGAACCAGAATCTGCGTCTCAGTGGAGATGCTCTGGGTGCACAGCCACCAGCTCTGCCGGCAGAGCTGGGCTTTGGGTGGGGAAGGAGGAGCCCATGCCTGAAGTCATGGCTGCCCCATGCAGAGCTACTGCTTGGCCATGTTACCTGGGAGCTGCCAACGACTTGGCCTTGCAGCACTGATTGATTTCTCACGCTAATGATCAGGTGGGGAAATGGTGCCCTTGCCTCACAACAGCAAAATTCACCCAGGGCACCTACAACGGGCCTTCAACTGCCTTCCCCAGTCATCTGGACTGACTGTGAGGGACACCAGAGAACACCGACTTCCTACTCCTTAGCTTCTATTTGAACCATTCGATTGGCTCTGTGCCATTCTACCTGGTTCTGTTTGATCTCACGATGGCAAAATACTGCCTACCAGCTGGCAGTCCTGGTTTTGACATGCAGAAGGTGGCTATGGAGGAACACAAGTGACAATGCTCTCCTGGCCAAGTGCTCCATTTGGGTAAGGCTCAGACCTCCCACCCTGCAGCCCAAGCCCAGGGCACACTCACCAAAGGAGACTTCACCGAAGCGGAGGGATGATACATCGAAATGAAACGTCGGCCCGATGACACAGCCACTGTGAGGACAAAGGCAGAGGAGACATTGCCTTGGTTAAAGAGAACTGCAAAGCCTTCAGCTTTCCTTACCGTTCTGGTGGGTAAAAGCCAGCCTGAGAACCTCAGCAGCTTTCAAATCAACCCCTCACCCTCATGCTCAGCACAGCAGCCAGGTGGACAGGAGGCAGCCAAAGCAAAGTGGTCAGCAGCCCATAGCTGCTGGTGGGGCTTGGGGCACAGTGTCATGCAGGGTATGCCCCCAAGTTGCTGATGGCCTGATGAAGGACACCAAACAAGTGATGGCTGCGTGCCGCAGTTTCCCGATCTGTAATGTGTTGGACATGGGGTGTCCCCAGTAAAGCAGAGTCAATGTAACTATGCTTCCCAGCCACAGGTTTCCTGCTTTGGCATTTCTTAGCTGGAACTGCTCTTTCCATGGAGTACAGGAACACCTTTCTCAGAAGATCTTGATCCATGCAATCGTTACGGGGACAGGACTTTGAGACATGAAGCCAGGGGAGCCCCAAACATCTCTTGACAACAGCAGCAACAATTCAACACAGTGGACAGTTGAATCTCGGAGGAAAGCATCAGCTTATCGCCAGTGCACCAGCTGACACATCCAAGAGCAACACGTCTTAAACCACCCAACACAGAACTGTAAAATCATCTACGTTGGAAAAGACCTTTAAGATCATCAAGTCCAACTGTCACCCAGCACTGCCAAGGCCACCATTAAACCACGTCACTAAGGGCCTCATCTACATGTCTTCAAGGGATGGTGACTCCACCACTGCCTGGGGCAGACTGTTCCAGTGCCTGACCACTCTTTCGGGGAGAAACTGCTCCTAACATCCAGTCTAAAACTGCCCTGCGCAGATTGAGGCTGTTTCCTCTTGTCCTTTCCCTTGTTACTTGGGAGAAGAGATCAGCCACCTCCTGGATCCATCCTCCTTTCAAGTAGTTGCAGGGATAATGAAACCTGAACCCACCACATCACCTCACCTGCCCTTAAGGCTTTAAGGCTCCAAACTCCAGGACTCACCAACACCCACTTGAATCACCACGTGAAGCTGCACAACACCCGTTAATTTATTTCATGGTTGATGCTAACCAATGCCAGCTCTGCCTCTCAGTTGAAAATCAAGGACCACAGCAAACTGTGTGTTCAATCCAAACTACTGCATGGCTCCCTCTTGCTGACAATTACACTTCATTTGACGCTGCAGTCACAAGGAGTCAGGGTCAAACTGGAATCAAGGGTAGTTTGGGCTCTTAGTGTGGGAATGCCAGGATGAGAGCCAAGATCAAGACCTCAGACAAGCCTTTTCTTTCTCTGCTCCATCAGCAAATGAGGTAGGTGGGAGATGATTACCCAGAGACAGCTACAAATGTGACCACCAAGCTCTTAGAACCCTCCTCACCTCACAGTCAGTGTCAGAGGCTCAGGGGATGCCTTCACACACTGAACTGGAATTCTTCTGTGAACTGGCCCAGGACAGTGGCACTGAAGGAGATCCAGATGACCTGATGCTCAAAAGGCAAAAGCATGCCCTCCTGGGGGGCAAAAATAAAGCAGGAGCCCAGAGCTCTCTCTGGATAGACCATGCTGAAGGGAGTCTCAATAACTCCTGTGTTGAGCAGGAGCATCTGCAGCAGCAGCAAGAAAGCAACATGGAAATACATGAGGAATCCTCCTTGCTTACAGAAGGCTCACTTCTTTTCTGTTTTAGCAATTAACATCTGTAAAAGGCAGAAGAGGCTGAGTGCTGCTGCCAAATACAACAGGACAAGTTCTGCCTTGGGGTTTTTTTCATGCAAAGCAGGGATAACTTCACACAAACAGAGCCACTCTGGGCTTATTCCCCTGACACAGAGCAGTCCACTTGACCTGCAGTGCCAAGGACCTGCTCAGCATCACTGAGTCGATTCAGACCCATCCCACAGCTCCATGAGGCTCACTGCTGCCCAGGAGCCATCTGGATCCACCCCGTGCCCTGCGACCCATCCTGCTCATCCTGTAGCTGTGGCTTGAGCCAACAAACACCTTCCCGATGCTCAGCTGGTCACAGCTGAGTTTGACCTGGGGCCCGACGCCTTCCCCGCTGATGCACAGGGGCAGCCTGCTCTCATGGCCTGTGGAGGGAAATCTCTGTGAGTGCAATTCCTTCTGCTACCTGGCAGTTTCCAGGTTGTCTCAGTGCTGCTGCCGGTCCCTGGCCTGCATGGAACCAGCTCTAGATGCTCCAGGAGAAGATATGGGACCCATGTCGTCCCTCAAGAGATATGTCTTGGGGCTGGTTTCTCATTTCTAACCAACCCCCTGGTCTGGTGTCTCAGAGAACCACAGACTGGTTTCTGTTAGAAATGACCTCAAGATCATCCGGTTCCAACCCCTTGCCATGGATAGGGACACCTTCCACTAGACCAGGTTGCTCCAAGTCCCGTCCAGCCCAAACTTGACCATTGCCAGGGATGAAGCAACTTCCTTGGGCAGCCTGTTCCAGTGCCTCACCACTCTCACAGGAAAGAATTTCTTCTGTATATCTAAACTAAATCTCCCCTGTTTAAGCTCGAACCCATCACCCCCTGTCTTATCTCTCCAATCCCTGATGAAGAGTCTCTCTCCAGTCATGGAAAACCAGCCTTCTCATTGAGCAGATCACATAAGCCATAAATGTACTGCTAACGTGTACATCCCTTGGTGCAAAGGCAACCAAGACTTCAAGGCTTACAGCTAAACTCCAAGGTGTGTCCTTTCCCTTAAATTTGCTACAGATGACAGATCACAAGATCTTCAGTCTGAAATCTGCTCTCAGCCACTGAAGAAGCCTAAGGTGCCTGAATCCTGGCTCAAATTTTGGATGAGGTCTCACTGCCATCCCATTCTACTCTGCACACAAAGCAAGCAGCACGAGGAGGAGGAGAGAGCCACGCAACAAAGACTCATCTTGGAGGTAAATGGTCTACAGGGGCCTGGTGCTCCTTCACTAAAGCTGTGTTGCAAATGCTGCCAAACCCATGGCAGGAAAGCTTATTCCTTCACTGCTCTGTCTCTTCTGGGATCAGGAAGCCAGAGCCCTGGTCTCGGACAGGAGACCACCAGGAACAACAGGGACATCGTCACGTGCCAGCACTGCCCTGTTGAGCCCTCCAGAACTACATGAAATCTGAGTGGGCTGGAAGAGTTTGTATCTCCTCTGTGGGAACAGGAGAAGAAGGAAGAAGCTGTACCTGAGATGTCACAGTAGACCGCCTCTTGGTAGACTCTGGCTTCTTTGGGCTTAAAGATCACATTGATTTCAAGTGAAGAATTTGGCAAGATATCTCCCTCCTGAAACAGAAGTGACAGCAAACCATTTATCTTCAAACATCACATTCTTTTTTTCCACTGTAAGCCTTTTTTAAGCCACTTTTTTTCCTGTAAGCCTTTATTTTGAGCATCAGCAAAGAGCAAGGAGCAAGCAACACCTGTCAACAGAATTTACAGGAGGGCTTGGAAGCAGCTGCAGAAACACCTTCCAAAGTCCCTTGCCTTTACTGGCACCCGGAAGGGGCATTTTGTTACCCTCAGAAGAGACTGAGCTCTTGCTCAGGGATATAAGTCTGTGCCACGCTACCAGTTTCTGCAACTGTCTGCTGCTTCCTCAGGGTCTTCTCTCTCTGCTGCTCTCCCAGAGGATCCTGGCACTGGTGCTCAGTCCCAGGAAGCCTTGTCACACATTTCAGGAGGCATCCCTGGTTTCTATAGCCTCTCACTTCCTGCAGCTGGTTTAAGCAAAGGCACCTCTTACAGCCCTTCAGCCCCTAGCATTACAAAGACAGTTGACATAAGTAGCTACACCTCTGGCAACTGTAATAATGCTCTACAGGAATTAAATACTTAGTTTACAAAAGCAGATAAAAAGAACAGTCATTTTCCTCTCAGCACAGCCAGGCCTTGATTCCACTCTGCTGTTGGGTGTTCTCAGGAATTCGTCCAGAACAGCCTTGAACTGAGGGGAGCCTCCAGCACTCCTGCAGCATAAATATTCGCTAGCTACGGTTCTTCCCACTGACACAGCACTTACAGCTTAGAGGACAGCCCCACAAAAATTAAAGAGCTAGAACATGAGAACTTATTGGCCTGCAGCTGCAAGTAACTCCCTAATGCACAACCTGCTCTGAGTCAGGAGAACACGGGGAAGGACAGGTAGAGAAGAACTCTGTCAAACACCAACCGACAGTAACTGGAAAAGTCTGAAAGAATAAAGTCACTTGGATTCTTCTCTAAACCTAGAGAAACTCTCCATGTGGGACAGGAGACACTGCCCATGACACAAAGCCCTTGCTGTCCCGGCCTCCTCCCATTCCTGCATCCCCATTCCTCTTGCCAGGGCAGCTGGAGCTGGCTCAGTGCCTCAAGGCATCTGTCTGATTCTGCATTTGATCCTGGCCCCAGATAACCCAAACTCAACATCACAACAGTAAGCTGCCACTGCACCAAAAAGTACAGCTTCAGCAAGAACCTGGAGAACACTGCAAAGGTGCATCTCAAACAGTGAGGAGTGCAAAGGAGTCCTGGCAGGGTTACTCAGAGTGGCCAAGTCCCTGGGGGCATGATTTGCTCCATACCAAGACCACACTGATTGCTGGGAGCATTCTGTACACACTCTTTAACTAGTGCAGGAGGGAGCTTAGAGCTTTGGGCACATGCCATTTCTTCCTTTACAGGCTAATCAGAGGAGGGTGCAGCACACAAACCCCCTTGCCAGGGATGATATCTTGCCATGTACCAAGCACCACGAAGCCATCCAGTGATGCATCACGATCCTCACAAGGCACACATCTCCACACATCCAAGGTGCTGATGGGTCCCAAGGCACAGCAGATTAATCTCTTCTAAGGCATCTGAGGAAGAACCTGTCCCAGCAGTTAACAGGGTCAGGTCTCTTGAGCTCCTGATAGGAAATCACCATCCAGCGGGATTCAGTGTATTGGGGTGGAAATGTCTGGCAGTCCATCCACAGAGACATTCCCTGGATTGGCAGTGAAGCTATAAGCCAGAGCGCTTGACTCTGATAACGGAAGGCCAGGAGAAATCATCACTTAATCCTACTATTATTATCCTATCCATCCTACTGTTCCATGGCCAAACCACATTCTTTAAAGACAGAACTATACTGGGAAACCATTCGTCACTTCTCCCTTCATTACTGCTCTAAGTCAGACTATAAAAGCAGAACGTTATTTCTCTCAGGAAATTAAAATAGGCTGTCCAAGAGGTTCTTCACATGCCTGCTACTCCCCAGGAAAAAGAACTGCTGGATAAAAGGATGTGCTTCATCGCCCACCCTTGCACACTGCTGATACATGCGGATGAGCCTCGGGACACCTCAGGAGCCAGCGCTCTGCCCAGGAGAGCAGGTCCTCTATAGGATGGCAGCTGAGGCAAAGTACAGAAAACTACCATGCATGCTACCTAGGACAGCAGTGAAGCTCTGCAGTGCTCTCAACACGACACTGCAACACTCCTGGCTTCACGTCAGGCTCAGGCTGCAACCGGCAGGGGGCCTAAAACTGACGGTGGCTGCATGATGACACAGCGCAAACCCCTCAGCTCTTGTACCCTGGCTTTGCTGCAGCATGAAGCAACGTTACACAGGGAGGGGATGGCACACCACGACTCACAGCTACAGAAGTGATCCCTTTGCAAGAGCCAACGCTAAATACACACAGATCCTATCGCTCCTTCCTCAGCCCCTAAATGGTGAGAATCTGTGAGACCCCCACCAGGCTGCATAAGAAGAAGCTGGCCTTGAAAAGCTGCCCACCACCAGCTGGGGTTGGCCAAGTCACTTGCTTTGCTTTGCAGAGGTGGAAGGGGAGCCACGGAAACCAAGCCAGTGTTCACAGCAGACAAAACCCAAAGACAGAGCTGGCAAAGGCAGTACCGAAATGACATCCAGAGCGCATCCTGTTAGTTCAGGGCACTCACGAGAAAGGCAGTGCCAAAGCCAACATCTGCCTCTTTCCAGAAATAATTCTCAGCTCCCACTGGAAATGGGGCCTCTGCCAAAGCCTGAAGGGCTCTGCAAGATCCTCTCGTTTGGATGGGGACCAGCTTGGCTCCTAGCTGAGGTGGAGATTTGCAGGAGCAAACAACACCACTACCTCCTGGCTCAGCCTCTGGACCAACAACAGCAGCAGTTTCATAACCTGGATGTCTGGAAGATCACCTCCACCAGCTCAAAGTTAGCACATGGCACTGAGGAGTCACTGACAGGCAATCACAGGGCATGGTGGCTTGTCAAGGTCAGTGCCAGGGTAATAAATCCTTGTCCTCCCTTTCCTCTGGTTTCCATTTCCAAGGAGTCAGCTCCCATGTGCCGCAATGTGACCCACAGCTAAGCTGTGGTGGGGAGGATGCAGCACAAAACAAGGACTTTGTCCTGTGGTAGCCACCTGAGCTTCCATCACAGCTGCTTCTGCTGACATCTCGTGGGTATTTGCAGAAAGAAATTAAATACAATGCGAGATGTGCTGGGAAAGTCAGAGCTGCACAACAGCTCCTTCCCCACGGGCCTGGAAGCTGCTCCAAATGTTCCTGGTCACATGGCAAGTCCCAGAGCACTGCCTCCTCTCTCCTGTTCTGATCTGCAGCCAGGACTTAACCCTAGACACACTGAAGTGACCTGCTGCAGCTTCTGCAGACAGCAACACCTGAAACACAGGCAGCTGATGCTCCACTTAGCAAAGCTTCTGCACAAGCCCTGGAAAGCCATCGTGCTCAGAAAGCACTTCCAACACCACTATCCCTCCACCAGCTTCCTAACCTCTGCAAGCAATTACTTCCTCCAGTCACTTGTCACCAGGGTTTGATGATTTCTAGAGGGTGCTCCCAGAAACCACAGGCAATAGGTGCCAAGGAGACAGCAGCCGCTTCTGGCCAGGAGATCCGAGGCAGCATGGTCCCACCTCTGGGGGGGCCTCCCCAGCAGATTCAAGGGCAGTGGCGTTGGTCCAAGCTCAAAGTTACAGGGCCATCGACAGACAACACACTGTGGAAGTCAGTGGCAGGGGATTTTCAGATTCTACGTGTGTAAAAGAGGAGAAACTATTGTCAATTGGAGTAAAGACACTCACATGCCAGGGGGAAGGCAGACACCAGCAAGACTCTCAATGGGAAAAGGACTGTTCCATAAATAATGGAATTCATGGAAATCAAGAGACTGATAACACTGCACAAGACAGCAGGGGAGAGACTCGTGTAGGAGCCTGCTTTGATTCAGCCCTAGAGCAAACTGTGTAACAGGAACACAGCCATTTAGGAAAGGTTTCCACTCACAGCTTGGGGCCAAGCTACGCTTCACGTCTCTACATCATCCCATGTTGATGTTGGATAGGAGTCAGCCAGATTTCCAGACCTCCCCTTAATGCACCTCAGGAGCTCAAGAGCAGGTTAAGCTCATTGTGGAGACACAGTGACTGTAATGAGGCTGGAGCCCTGGGCAGACTCTAGAACCAGCTCTGACACACGGCAGGATGCTCTGAATGCTCAGCTGAGCAGCTCCTGCTCTCCCGGTATCCCTGCTGATCTGACACAGTCTCTTGGTCACATCGTGCTGCTGCCAGTTACAGTGGTGGGAAACCGCACTTGTGCTGGCATTGGTGGCTCTCAGCCTTATATGGGCTGCAGGAGCAACCAAGAAGAGAACAGCAGCCCCTTCCTCGGAAAACAAACTAAAAAACAAAATAAACTAGTTTCACGCACTGTAAAAGAAAGAGGAGGTTGGGATTATTCCAGGCTTTACTCCAAGATGAGAAGGGATGCTGCACTCCTCAGACAGCAGGTATTCTTCATCTCAGACCATACAAACACTCAGAACAACAGCTCTGGCTGACTGAAGGACATGGGGGTTTTGCTTGCATCACCAGGAAAGTGAGCAGTTTTCTCTACCTATCTGCAGTAGAACTCAAAAAGCCTGTTTAAACCTGCCAGCCTTGTGTCCAGGCTCACAGACAACACTGGAAGGGAGACTCAGATGTGGTATACATCCAGGTTTTAGGAAGGGATTGCTGCTCCCATGATTAAACTTGGGCTCAATTTGGCCCCCTTGCCACAGGGAACCATTTAATTCTGCAGGTCAGTATGTGAACTAACAGTGCACCAATGCCCTTTCTTCACCCCTATGCGCTACATGGAAATGTGTCCTTACAGAGAATAAGTGATACCTCTGAACAGTGTGAGGACACTCACAAAGTGCCCTTAACTCACAGCCCTTGCAGCAGAGCCCAGCCTGGGGTCAGCTCTTGCTGCTGTTCAGAAATGCTTTCTGCCACAAGCGCCCCCAGCCTCACCAGAAACCTGATGTCTCCTCTCTTGGCAAATCAAGCAGCTGACACGGGATCTGCCAAGGGACCTCATTCAGAGATGAGGAGGAGGAGGAGCAGGAAGGGAGGTTCTCAGCCACCACTTACCATGGGCACAATGGTGAAAACATCATGGCAGAAAGGCATGGAGTCTCCCTGCACCTCTGTCTCCTGGTTCTGGGAGGTGCAGATGGGAAGGGAAGGGAAGGGTGTTCTCCGAGAGGGGGGACCACCCCATGCTCCTTAGGAACATCACCCAGCTTGCCCTCTTCCTGCCTCTGCAGCCTGCGCCATGGGAGAGACAAACCAAGCAGATCATTGAATAAGCAGCAGATCTGCAGAGCCTGTCGTGTCAGTGCACGAGCAGCAAAGCACCTGGGGAGGAAGAGCAGCAGCTCAGCACGGGGCTGAGCCTGAGGCACAGGCTCCCACATGGATCCCATTATTCCCCTCATTCCCAGCACAGCAGGGAGTTTTACTCCTCACTGACAAGCTAACAAGAGGTTTCTGAAAGCTGGCAGCCCTCAAGAAAAAGCCTCCTGCACTGGGAGGGGAGAAGCAACTGGGTTTCATCTGCACATTACCAGCATCACACTTTTGCCCTTCCATTTTGCACCCACAGGGATGAGGAGACAGTATCCACACTGCCTTCCACCAGAGGATCCCAGTGTACTTCCAAAGCAAATCAATGGATTTGGGCATCCCATCTCTTCAGTGACATGAATGAGTTTCTGTGCATGAAAACAGAGGTGCCAAGAGAGGAAGGGACTTTGCCCAGCATCACCCAGTAGTCAGGACCAGCATATCGGAATGGAAACCCCAGCCTGAGCCTTGAACCACCTCATCTTTTCCCTCATTTTGGCCTCCTCTGCAGAGCTGTGATGCAGTTAACCTCTCCCTTTATTGGTGGCTGCAGCAGAAATCATTCTAGTGTTTAAAGATCACAAGCGGGAGATGAGAGGGCAGCACTGCTGCAGAACGGTTGCTCCTTGCTGGCACACTGCTGTCCCCCCTTCAGGCTCCAGTCCCCTGGCCATGAAGAACCAGCAGGTGACAGCACTGGGGGACCAGGGGAAGGCTCCATGTGCAGCAAATCAACGCAATGGCATATGAACGATCACCACCCAGCTAAATCCAAACACAAAGACAAAGGGAACAGGCAAGGACGTTACTTGCTGCACACACATAGAGCCTCACGCACATGCTGTGCGTGAGGAGGGCTTCCACACACTGGGATGAGCAGCCCTCAACTCAAGCTCCATCAGCAAGCCACAATTACACCCCTTTGGGTGTAATTTTGAGTGCTGCAGGAGGGACACGTTCTAATGAGCCATGTCTTTTGAGGTCACATCCCAACACAGGCTCCTGCACAGCCTCCTCTCAGGAGAAGGTCCTCTCTCCTCTGAGATCTCAAAAGCTTCTCTGACAGCAGGACAGTGGCCTTGGAGCTATGACCATACCCAAGGCTGTGGGTAAGGAAGAACAAAGCGTCGTGCTCAGAGTCTAGGACAGAGACTGGCATGAGAGCAATCTCATATGTAAAAAACTAGGTTGAAGTGAACTGTGGGGAAAGCTGGTGGCTTCTGAGGGAACAGAGGATCACCCAGGGCCCAGTCCAAGACAGGGAGGTGGGGACAGATGCTAAAGAAATGGTCCAGGGAAGTATCAAGGGAAGGTCACGAGATTTTCTTTTAACTCAGTGAGTTTGCACAGAACTCACACACTGTGTGATTAAAAACAGACAACTGTGGAAAGCTCGTTCTGGCCTTCAAGGCATTTCTGACCTAATTACACTGAGCTTGATGTGCTCAAAGCCCTTGAAAAGTGCTGCAGTTCAAGGCAGTTTCCTGATCAGCTCTGGATTCAGACTAACTCCTGTATACCTGCACCCATCTGAGCTGAAAAGTTGCACAAGGATTCCCCAAGTCACATAAGCTTTTAAGTGTCATTTCCAATTCATCCTCCCAGACTGTGTTTCTCTGCTGCCTGAAATGGGAATTTCAAAGCTTCACCAGAGACACCCTTGGAAGAAGGTGCCCCATCTCTCACCACCAGGACAACACAGGTTGCTGAATCCCAAAAGCACTTCCAAGTCCTGGCTGCCCTCCCTTCCTTGCAGAGCCCTCCCCCTCCACATCTGCCCAGCTTATGAGGAAGGGGAGAAACACCTTGTTGGGCCAGAAACCAGGACACTGAAAGGCAATTCCTCAGCCTACAGCAAGATGGCCTTCACCTTCTGGCCCAACCAAGCACTCTACCCTGCATGTGACTGGAAAAGGAGCCTGCCAGCTTACCAAAGAAGAAACTGCTTGAGTATCACAATAGTTGTGCCACCTGCAGCTCTTCAGTGCTGCTGCTCAGTGCAGTCCCAGGTCACGAGTACTGACCCCTCCTTCCTCAGCCTCATGGACCCTCCATAGTTCATGGATCTCTGAACTCAATAGTTGCGGCTCCCAAATGTGAATTTGCCCTCTGAGGCAATCCAGTGATTGCAGTCAACCTTCTCTCCCCAAAACATCATCCTCAGCTGTAGCACGGCTGGGACTGGAATGACAAGGGCTAAGCTCCACGCTGTGCATGGGTTCATGTGCCCTAATCCATTCAAAAGCCCCAGCAGCCCTCTGAGGCCACATGTTAGTTTTCCCCTGGGGCATCTATCTTTCTGAGATGAGTCTCTCCAACAAACCTCAGCTTCTGCCGCTCCTCCTCTTCCTGATCAACAAAACGCTTCCACTGGAAGTGGGCCGTGATGGCACTCTCACTGTGGATCACCAGGGATCTTTGGTTTGACAGCGTGAGGGAAGTCTTCTCAAGTGTCAAGGAGCTCTTGTCAAGCCTGATGTTGACATTTACAGCTGTTCCACAAAGGCTTTTGTGAACATCTTCACCTGGAACAAAGCAAACGTAAGTCTCGGCTCATCTCACTTGCTGATGAAAGTACAAGGAACAGAGCAATCTGCAGGCAACAGAAGAAAGAGCCGCAGCTTTGAGCTGCATCAGCAGTTCTCCGGATCAGGACATTTATCATATCTTGACAGCTGCACACAGTACAGCATGAGGATGTCCTGGCACCACCTTAGGCACCTTATTTTGAGGGGTGTTTGTGGAGATTTATCCCCAGGGTGACAGCATTTACAGTGAGACAGCCTTTACAGCCTTTGGGCTGCCATCCCACTCAGGTCACAGGGAATTCTACACCCAAGTCACTCAGTGACGCTGAGGAGCATCATCTCAGTCAGCCCTTGCGCAGGGTCTCCTGCAGGCAGGAGATGCCCCCAGTGTCGTGTCATCCTCATCTCCTGGTCCTGAAATATTGGGCATAGCTCTTACCTCAGAACCCAAGCTGGAGCATTTAAAATGAAGTGGAGAAGGGCAGAAAGAACAATGGAAAGTACAGAGCAGCTTCTGTGCTGAGCTCTGCACTCAACAGGGTGCTACTGGGCCCTCGGATCCCTCTGCCAACTCCTCCTTTTGCTCCTGCTACCACCACAGCCAAGTGCCTTGCCACTGCCAGCACATTCTTCCTTGTCAAACGTGCTGCTGTTACCACTTCACCACTGCAGAACCGAGTCCCTTCACTAGGGTAAGTGTCCTGTGGAAAGCTGGAGACGTCCAGCACCAGAGCAACACGCACAGCATCACAGCCATTTTGAAGTGTTTCTCCAAGGTGGCGTTCACAACCTACCTTCAGATACCATTACACCCACGCATTACTGACTCCAGCCCTAGCAGCAGCTTGTTCATAAACCTCACCACTAAATAACTGCTGCTAACAAGGGGGTTTCTACAGAATCATTCCCAGGCTACAGCAAAGCTCAGAGCACCCTAATGGCTACCGCTGGCACAGTTACTGCTCCTCATGGTCACAAGTCCTCAGCATGGCCCAGCTCTCAGCAGAGCACCCACTGTACCCATGCAGCACATCACAAGAAGAGAGTCTCTACCTCAAAGGCCTTGCCAGGAACTGTAACACAATAGATTGGGATGAAAAGCAATGACCAGTCAGGAGAGCTCTATGGGACAGGTTGCAGGCTCTTCAGACAGCTCTCTTGCACGTTAGAAGCCATCCCCTTTTCAATCAGGCTCCTTGCTATGCATCCTTCTGCAATGGAGCACGTAAAATATTTGCCATCACCCCCTCTGCACCATGCTTAGGAAGATCTGCCTGCCTTGTTACAGGCTGAAATATTCCAGCACAGAATATCTGGCAGCCAGCATGGAAGCTTTGCTCTACCCAGCGTGAAGGAGCCTTGCAGAAGGGATTCAACAGGACAATGAAGCCATCAGATGATGACAGCGCAGACACCACTCTGTTTGGAAGGACACACAGAGGGTGCACCACGTGCTTACCTGTATCATAGTGAACAATCATGGGACTGGAATAAACACCGGTCTTTGGTGGGTGAAATTCCACTGTGACTTCCATCGCTTCTCCAACACCAAGAGTCCCAATGGAGGGATTCACAGAGAAAGGGCTGCAACACAAACAGAGAGATCAGGACTGCATGGGAGATCTGGGCCCTCCGTTAATTTTGCAGTCTAGCTCACTTCAGCTCACTTGTGCAAGCAAGGAGCAAGCAAACCACAGTCGGCACAAGAAAACCAGAATATCCAGGATCAGAAACAGAGCGGGTGACTCTCCCTGCTGAAGAGAACCAGACTTCAGAAGATCCAGTGGGATAACAGGACCTCAGCCCCCCACACTCTGCACCCAGTTCTCAGCTCTTCACCTCTGCACACATGCAATCCAGTTACTCAGAACTCTACTTTTTTGTGTAGTTCACTTCAAACTTTTGTAATGCTTCCCATTTCTTTATTGCAAATCGGGTATGAAAATGTTCATTGCTGAAGTTCGGGAACTCTTAAAACCTTGTCAAGGAGTTCTCAACACACGCTCTGTCACCTAATAGAGTAGTTGGCAAGTGCATTGCAAATAGATGCTAGACTTCACTGGGTATTTATTGTGGTGACAACTAGGCCTGGAAATCCCAGAAGGAAACTGTACAGTGATTTACAAGTTCCTGCCCATGTAGCTCCCTCCACAGGGAAAAGCAGCAGCCAGCTTAAATAGCATCCTAGAAGCCTTGCCAGCCTTTGGCAGAAGCTTCTCTCAGACCCTCGTGTTTCACAGGAGACGAGTTTAAAGTCTTCTTCTGAATCCCATTTCCTGGAGAAGAAACTGAAGCAGCTCAGGTGCACCAAGTCAGACACAGCAGGTCTTTACTGTGTTCTTAACCTCAGCTCCTACGCTGAGACCTCTGGGACCAAGTGACTCAACTCCCAGCCAACTGAACCGGCTGCCTTGCGGATGAAGTGTCAAAAACACATTACCCTCTCCAGTTCAGCAAACTGGAAAACCAGTGACTGGCTTCTGAGACCAACAGGAACAGGACAGGCTGGCTGCAACACAGCTCACCTCAGGCATTTGATGAGGGGACCATCAGAGTACCATGAACCTGTGGCTTCCCAGAGAACGGGTGTACTTGGCTGACGTAAGTAACCATTCCAGAAGGTTATTCGTGATCACAAGGGTGCAAACCAGCTACTCAGCTACTTCAGCCCTCTCCAGGAAATGTGGGAGAAAAACAGCTCCAGGAAAAAAAGGCCCCCAACCCTTTGCAAATGCACCAGGCACTTGAAGCATCTTTCAGCTGTGTCCTCCTTAGCTTTCTGGTTTGGGCTGTAGTCCACTTCTGAAGCCACTGCCTCCTCCTCTCCTCTTCAGAGCTCATTCTACTTAGGCATGTTTGGTCCCAGGCACCAGACCAAGCCCATGGGAAAACAAAGTCCCCAGACCACACACTCTTATTGCCAGGGCCTCCATAGCAATTGCTTTGATCTATGATCTCTGCTTGCTAATATAGACACAGCTGCTGATAAATTCTTCAGTGCCTCTCACCAGCTCATTGTTTGCCCATTTCTTGATGCTGCATTTGGCCTCCGTGACCTGAGCCTCTCAAGCTGTCCTCTGCCATGCAGCACCTTCTGCAGCAGTCAAGCTGCCTTCCTACCTTGGCTCTTCCAATCTAACAGCATCAGACCTGCAAGATGCTGCATTGGAGACACCACCGCACTGTAAAACTTGCTTGCAGAGCTTTCTCAAAACATTGTAAGCAATGGCAAATCCCACAGGTCCTGCCCATGTCCAGCACCTCAGATGCTCTGCCTCCTTTCTCTCACTGTTTACAACTCCATGACCATGCAACAGCGCCTGCACAAGAGATGAGCTCCTTTACCTCAGAGTGGTGATGCTGTAGCAAGCCTCCCGCTTCCCCACGTTGCGCACCAGCAGAGTTTTCTGAGTGCTGAACCTGACTGGACAGTCGGAGAAGTTCAGCTGCTCAGGGGAGTCCAGGGTGGCTCGGGCACCTATGGCTCGGATAGGCACAAAGAACTTCTCCCTCTCTGTGATGATGATAAGCTCATCAAAATAATCCTGCAGGGAAAGAAACAATCTCAGCACAGTCCGTTCAGCACCATGCCCATGGCTGTTTTCTGTGACTCTCACAGTAGCATTCCATAATGCACTCACACTTTCTACCTTCATGGCCTTTCGTTACACATTATTTCACAAGCGGGGGCAGTCAGGCAGATCCTCTTTACTTTTCTATAGGCACGCTGCTTGAGGATAGGACAGAGTATTCAACTACATTTAAGCAGCAAACAGAAGATGAGTAAAAGGCCATGCAGAGACAGCAGACTCAGCCCTAAAGCCAACAGACATTACATTAAATATTCCACCACGGAAGGAGAAAACAGCCTGAAACAGGCAAGAGCCTCCAGCCTATGGGAGCACAACCTTCATGACCAGGAAAGAGTCTCCCTCAGGTCTAGATCCAGTGCAACCCCACTGAACCCAGCCCAGTTCTTCAAAACCCACACCAGATGCCTGCTTTGGAATCCAGCCCTGCAGGTTCACCTTCCCCTCAAGGCACTATCTCTCAGGACCTTCAGTCTCACCTTGTTCTCATCAGGTCTGAAAAGGATACAGCACATTGAAGACATGCCTGGTGCTACCTTATAGTCCTCATCACTCGGGCTGATCAACTCGAAGTAAGGAGAGTTCCCCAGGATGATGTTCAGCAGACGAGGAACCTGCAGGGAAGACACAGAACTATGATTTTGTCGCTTGTGTGAACATGAGAAGGGACCAGGACAGGCCATGTGACACCCTTCCTTACCACCTTTCCAAAACACTTTGAGCTCTGAAGGTACACGCACCTAACACACAAGGGTGGACTTGAATCCCTTCTGCTGAGCTACATAGCCACAGGACAGAGGCAGCAGGAACAACACGCCCTGCTGTGAAGGAAGCAGGAAGGAGATGCAGTACCTCAAGTCATCTGTGTATTCAACAAGCCCAAAGAACATGCTTGCTTCTGCCTGCACACATCCATGTAATCATGCCTCTGGAGGGGGAATGTATTACCTGAAGGCAAACCAGCGTGTGTTATACGGGGGGGGGGGAAGTCACTCCTGACACACCAGGGTGGAGTGGGGTGGTCAAGCTGCAGTGCTAGTCATGGGGGTGGACCAGCAAGAGAAGGAGACCACAAACACTCTGGCCTTCCTGAGAATAAAAGCCTACCTCAAGAGCAAAAGGATGAGCACAGGAAGACAAAAGAGCAACCCCAGGAAGAAGCAGATGGCGAAGATAATTTAAAGGGGGCTGCAAAGCAGCAAGGGAGATCCATAATGCAAGGAAAGGCTGGTGCAGAGATGTGAACACCCAACGTGCCTGGATGATGGAAAGCCAGACAACCCCCCCAGGCTGTGCCTATCAATTATGGTCCTCCAAGGCACTTTCTGCTTTGAGATATGTGACCAGCACTGCCTCACATTGTGGCTTCATTACTGAAAGCCACCCTGAGCTCTCTGGAGGCTCTTGCAGCCAGGCCTCTGCCAGTGCAGGAGAGCCACATTTCTGGGTATCCCTCCTCATAGCCAGCCCTTCCTGCAGGCATCCTGCTGCAAGTGTCTGTCCTTTGGGATACCACTGGCACGGAGACAGCAAACAGGCATTCTGTAGCACACAGGCAGCAACCCCCCAGCACCCAATCTCAGCTCAGAAAGTATAACAAGGAGTGTTTGAATGACAGGCAGCTCCACTGATGAACACACGAGGCTTGGACAAGTGGAGGTTCATTCTGCACCCCTGCCCCAAGCCTGATAACCCATGGCCAAGGCAGCCCTGAACGCTCTCAACACCCTTTGCTCCCAGCAATGCCCTGGGGCAGCAAGCTCCAGGAGCCCACTTCCCACTGCAGCCACACTTTCTGGTCGCCAAGTCCCTTGGCACATGAGCCCAGCTGGCAAAGATCTTCAGCAAGAGCCACCCAGGACACCTCTGAGGGTGGTGAGGAGCAGCCTGAAGACAGGAAAGCAATTCGACAGCAAGCAGGCAAGAGCACTAAGCATAGAGTGAAGCACTTCCGTACTGGAGTGATTCCAGAGCACCTATTGGGCTCAATTACACTTTGCCTCTCTTACACTTTGCTGCTAGCTGCACTTCTAGGGAGCAGACAACCTCAGCTACCATGCAGGATACATCAGGAGGATTCAGAGGAGTCTGGGAAACTCCTGAGACAGAGCACAATGTTCCTTTTCTCCAGGTCATGGCCAAAACCCAGCAAAATTAGAACATAATAAACTCTCTTGGGATTATCATCGCTATCTTTGTGCATTTAAATATGCCAAGGGTTTTCCTTAGAGCTGATCTTCCTTTTACACGAGGGCTGTCCAATGCCTGAGGTCGTACTAGCTTCACAACTAATTCATTTGGGTAAAACCAACAGTTCACACACTGCCTCCTGTTCACAGGGCATAGAAATCCCAAGCTGCAGATGTACCAGTCTGTTAGGTTTTATTGGGAATGGCACTAACATCAATGCAGATGTTGTTTTCCACTTGGGAAGAACGAAGAGAGCAAATTCACTGTTTGCCTCTTTGCTGGTACTTGGCAAAGGCAAACATTCTGAGGTGCTGCATGGATGAGGGAGCAGCTGAACCCAAAAGACACAGTGGGAATGAAGCAGAGCAGGAGGAAAAGAGAAACTGAGGCCCATTTTAATAAGCAAAGGGCACACCTACAGCAAAGATTGCCCAAAGTCACTGTGAACCGCACCAGTGGTGTCACTTGGGCATAGGTATCCACATTGCAACTTCCCAGTATTCCCAAGCTACACCAGGAATGACACAGAACTCTCGGGGAGTAACTGAGAGACCATACCTTCATCCTTCCTTGCCAAAGGGTCTTACATGCTCTACCATGTCCCTGCAAAACCTGTTATCTCAGGAGATACTTTGACTTCTCTTGCTCTTCCCCCCCTACACTAAGCCCTGACAGTGTCACTCCTTTTATCCCCTTCTTTGTTTCTCCCAACAGGGAGATTTGAGGAGGGGGTTAATTCACCTGCACACTTCCACCTCCCCCCTCCCATGCCCTCCTCTCATGCACACATCTTGCTCTTTCTTACGCAACAGGATCTTGAATTACGCCTGTTTCTGATGTTTCTCTGCTTCCAGCACACGTCCTGTTACATACCAAGAGAACCCCTGTGTGGAAGAAAGTGCTCTGGGACAGGACATTGAACTCAGCACCTTTCCTCCCTCCTGTCTTTTCCCACCAGCTTGCTCTTGGCACATGCCTCACTGGAGGAAATGTTTCCCCAACTGAAATTCAAAAGGTCTCCATTTCCCCCTTTATAGCAGAGCAGAACAAAATTGCTGATATTTCTCAATATATTCCCTGCTCAATTTTCTCAGGAAATCTCCAAAGGAACACAATCCTTCCAGTTAAAGTTGGAGACCTTCCGGAGCACATTACCCCTCCCATGCTGGGATTCTCCAAAGGGAAAGCACAGCCACACTGGCTTAGAAGCACCTGAGCAGAACTGAGATAAGCTTAGCAGGAGCCTCAAGTGGCACCTCAAGTCCTCCCCTTTAACTGCTCCTGCTAAGCCAGCTTCTTTCCACTGCTCTTCCGAAACACCCAGCCTGGAGTGCTAATGCCAGGAGTTACAACTTACTCCAGCACAAAGTGGAGAAGACTCAACCCCTGTGCTTTGACAGGGAGCTGCACACAGGTGGCTGAACAGGCTGAGAGAGCGAAACATGCCCTGCCAGAAGCCAACATTAACCAAGGAGCCACCAGGACATGGTGCACACTCGAGGTAAAGCATGACAGCAGGCAAGAACTGCAGAGCCTTCGACATTCCCATCAGTCCAGGGCTTTCAAGGGGAAGCATGCTGGCTCAAAAAGCTCCTGTGGCTTAGATACCACCAGTGCACGGCCAAAACCAGTGGGAGAATCCCCAGCATGGCAGCATTTCCCCCATCTTGCAGAATAACAGTGGTGAGATGTTTTATTCTGGATGCGCTGTGCTGCAGCAGGTAACTTGCTCTGCTGCACACCACGGGAATTCCACTGCTCTCCTCCTCCAGCCCAGTGCTCAACCTCCACAGCCCAGCACTTACCCTGTCCACGCTCCTCAGAGATAGCGCCGCTATGTAGAACTGGTGGGGAATGCAGTTCTCAAACACCAGCTCGGATGGGAAAGGCTGGAACAACCTCTGGTCCAGGTCAACTGCTGAGAACTGCAGATGCAAGACAGAGCAGAGAGAGCTTCAGCTGCTGGGAGAAAGATTAACCAATGAGGATCCCACACTGATCTCCAGTAAATACAGTCTCTTGGTGAGTACATCTGCCCAGCTCACACTAGGAGATGGGAGCTCACCCACCTCTGCTCTCAGCTGAGCAACAGTTTCTGGACCAGCTTGAGCAGCCTCAAGCTAAGAAGCTCTTTTGGAGGCTCTTTCTCCAGGCTGCCTTCTCCAAAATGCAAAGCAGAGCTCACCTCCAGCAGAGCCTTCTGCTAAGGTGCTCATTCAGCTACAGATACTTGCTGGAACAGCCATGAGCACTCAGGGAGCAAGCAAAACCCAGGAGTTTCCATGAGCCTCCAGAGGAAACCATTTGCAGGTGAACTTCCCTCTGACACAGTGAGACTGAGTCCCATGCATCCCAAGTATCTTTTTTTGATGCAGAGCCCAGAAACCAGTTGGAAGACACCAGTACCAGGGAGGAAAGGCCAATAAGAAAGTAGAAGGGCAGCTGGGAAACAGACAAATGAGGTGAATACTGGATGGGGATGAAGTTCAGCTCTTTCCCCAGCATTACTGGGCAACTTGAGCTAGACTGCAATTCGTATCCCCTTTCCCCATGAGCTTTAAACTGATGCTTCACTGTATTCTGTTACTGCTGGTTTATTTAATACCACTGCAGAAGCAGCTCTGAAAAATACACATAAAGACCAAATGCTGACCCAGCAGAGGCATTACTTGGAGGTAATTCCTCCCTGCTTGGTCTCCCCTCTCCCAGCTGCACTGCTGCTGCTCCAGAGACACAGGCAGGTCTCCTGCTTCTCCACAGAAATCACGGTCAGGCTGAGGCCAGTAGCTGTACCACTGCTGGTTATCTGGGAGCCCATCTTACGTGTTCCCACCTCGTGTGCTGTCTAGGGCAACCTTTAACTGATGTGCTACAGGTCTCTTGCTGGCAACTTTCTGCTCAACAGCCTACCTCAGTCATGCACCCCCCTGGACTGTGTGTTAGACTGAGCAGTCCTGCAAGAAAAGCAGCTTTAAACATCCATCTAAGAGAATACTGATCCAGGTAAAGCGCATCCACTCTCCTCTGCCCAGGGCCATTCCCCTGGGTAACCAGCAGCCTGAAAACTCAAACACCCTGGAACGGTCCCCACGCCTTCTTACAAACCAAAGCATTAATGCAATTGGGTTTGTTACAGCTTAAGCAATTGCCGCAGGCCCTCAGCCTCTAACGGCCACTACTGCCACCACTGAGGGAGTCCTGTGACCCCAAGCATGTGGCAGTTGATTACACCAAAGCAAGAGGTGGGTGTTTGAACAGCAGGATGAGGAACAGCAGCTCCTGCCCTTGTGTCCTGCCCTAGCCCTCCCCCACTAGCGTGCTTTAGCGACGGTAGCTCAACTCTGGCAAAACCCATCAACTGCAGCAGAGGTTCCATTGGCTTCGTGCAGATCAGGACTTCAATGGCTCACTGGAAAAACAGGTTTTGCCTTTCCCCCAGCAGAAAGAACTCCACCACCACCAGTTGGAAATGACAACAGGACCTAATCACCAAGCTGCTTGGATGAGCTGGAGGCAAGCCTGCCACAAGCACGTGACCTCTTCAAATGTCACATCAAACAGCAAGGAAAAGGGCAGGGAAAGGCTACCTTTTGATGGGAGACTTCACCCCTGTCCTGAAGCTGGATAGTCTGGCGACGCCTCATCTCCTAAGGGCTGGCCAGCCTCTGCTTGGTAGTGAGAGACTCTTCTGCCTCTCTGACGAGCTTCGGATTACGAGATGCTACCACTCTGCTCTGGAATCCATCCGCCCTTCTTGAGTACCTCATGGGCTGGGGGGTCTTGCCACTGGCCATGTCGCAAAGGTCACCTGGAAGAAGCAACAGTTGGACAATCCACAATCCCAGAACCTTAAAACCATGGACCCATGGAATCCTGGAACCCCAGAACCTTAAGGAAAGGCCCTTAAAACTCACCCAGTTCCAACCCCCTGCCATGGGCAGGGAGCCCTTCCACTAGACCAGGTTGCTCCAAGGCCCGTCCAACCTCGCCTTGAACACTGTCAGGGATGGGGCAGCCACAGCTTCTCTGGGCACCCTGTGCCAGGGCCTCACCATTCCTGGCACAGCCAAAGGACACAGCTGTGTCTCCAGCCTCTGGCATCCTTCCTAAGCAGAGAACAGAGGCCTCCCCCATCCCCCTCACTCATCATTAGACCATATTTAGGCTCCATTCATAGACATAAAACCCCACAACAAACAGCCCCTGAGCCAAAACATCCTTTTGCTGGGGGTGCAGCCCCACGAGCCACAGAGACACACCAGGGGCTGCCGGCACTTCTCACCCTTTCTGCAAGGAGCCTGCTGATGTTTCCAACTAACTCAGCACAGAGTTCAAGACTCTGATTAAGAACTAGAGCTCCTCAAGGCTACTTTGCCTGGTTGAAGGTACAAAGATTATCTGGCAAAAACGGCTCCTTCCAGACATGAAATCACACCACTGCCCAAGAGCATTTCTCCATGCAGAAGGACGCCCTCATTTTCAGTTGTTAACACCCAAACTCAAGGCTCCCTACAGGCACTCCAGGCTGCCACAGCAGGAAAAAAGCAGGAAACCATCAAAGGCACATAAGCAATTAGCTCAAATCTAAGTAAAATCCAGGATGATATTCACTCCTGCTTCCCTGTGTTCCACATCACCTCTGTTGTGTGCACTCGCTGTACACAGCAAGACAGCATCTAGGCAAAGATGGCCATTCCCTGTCCCTCGACTGTTCCCCACACCCTGCAAGCAAGGCAGTCACTTAATTCCTTTACTCCCAAGGCAGCTACAGCACTGCACGTGTTTGTGGTGCTGGGCCCTTTGCAGCTTCAGGAAAAAAGGCTACCATTTCCTTTTATTCTTGCAAGAAACACCAGAGCTCTGCACTGCCCTACGGTCAGGAGGAACTGCTGCAGCAAGAGCTGGGATTTAAAGCTGGAAATAAGTACTTTTCAGGGAGAAACCTAATGGGGATGATCCAACATTAATCTGGATTTCAGTGGTTTATTAGCAGGTCTTAAGAGTAACTGGCTTATTTGTTCCAATTCTCCAGACTGTGATTTCACTTCACTTTAAACGAATCCTGTCATCACCCCCACAATGCTTATTTCCAGAGGGCTTCCAACCTCCACACCCCAGCCAGCCCAGCAGCTTTAACCCGAGCCCACTGCCAGGAGACAGTGCACAGAAAGATGGGTGCATTCTGGATGTAGGTTCGGGCCCAATTCAGCAAGGTACTGGCACCACGTCTGTTTAAACAAGGAAGGGGACAGATGTCAGGGGCACTGAGAACCCTGCAGTTACAGAATGGTTAAGCAGTCATTCCTGGGGCTGACATTGCCTTAATCCTAACTGCCTTGGCCTCATGTCTCCACTGGCAGCTAAAAACCATCTAAGTCACCATAATACTGAGGACAGAAACATCCTCCAGTACCCCCATTCTGCAGGGCTTAGTCAAAGTCACGCAGGCAGAGCAGGGGTCAGTCTCTCTTCCTTCACACCCAGCTCTTCTCCCCCTCCTGCCAGGGCCTTCTCCATGCCACCCAGCACCATGGGACACCACAGGCTAGGGAGTACAGGGTCCTCCCCTCCTCCTCCCAAGATACAGAGCTTCCTTCAGAGCCTGAGCATATGGCAGCTCTTTACTTCCTGGCGTCACACACATCTGAAAGCATGGTTACACCTGAGCACTCACAGCCCAGCAAGATCCTCCCATGGTCAGCTCCAAGGACTACACTAAGTGCTACAAGCGCTCCTTCCCTCCACCTTCTCCTGACCAAGACAAAAAGCAGCCCTCACGTGCTTTACCTGGTCCACGACAGCTTGGTTGTTATTTGCAGCTTCAGACATCCCGTGGCAGCTCCATTTGCAGCAGGACTGCTCTCCTTGGCTCCTGGCTTCGCAGCAAGCTGGTCATCCACAGCAGGGCTACTACTTCTGCTGCGGGGCACCTTCAAACACCAGCATGTGGTTCTGTGATTTGAAGCAAGGGAGAGAAAGATCAGACCAGGGGACACAGGGAGGGGACAAGCCCAGCCTGTGACGTGCCTTTCAACCTGCGCCCACAGGAGCACCAGGCACAATCCCAGCAGCTGCAAAGTCCCACAGGCTCTTCAGAAGCTGTGAAAGGAGCAGCTTGGGTTATTTACCACTTGTGAAGCACTGGAGGGACAGGCCCACCTCTTGCTGCTGCCAGGCAGCTGGGGCAGCTCCCTGCAGCACACATGCTGTGCTGAGAGGTGCTGGGCAGGCTGCAGGCACCAGTCCTGCTTGCAAGGAGCTTCCAAACTGAAGCAGGCACCAAGAAATAAAAGCAAAGCTGAATGTGGCTTTACCTGCTCCAGGCAGGTGCCTTCACAGGCCCATTACAACCACACGATAGCCACAGCTGTCTGAACTCAAGCAAAACCCCAAAGCAATCGCTGCTCTGCTGAAGAATGGACCACTGGATTGCCTTTTGCTTAGTCAACTGTTTGACTGCATTTGTACCTGAAAGTCTTTTGCCAAAAAGACTGGGAGTTTTGTCAAAGAACAGCCGTGCAGAGGCTCTCCTGGGCTGGAACCCGAGCCAGGGCTTTGATTTTTAAACAGGGCAGCCAGTGCATCCCTTACAAGAGCACTGGGAGTTGGCAGCACTAGGATCTGAACCCCCACCATCCCTTCAGAAGAGGTGCCCCCCACTGGCACTACAACTATGAGTCCCTGCGCACTAATGCTCCGAGAAAGAGACAGCTTATAAACAGCTTATTTCCTCTGCCCTTGCTTGGCACATCAGTACTTAAGCAACAGATGCCCTCACATCACCTCTAAGACAGGCAGTTAAGATGACACCTCTCCTTTGAGGGGAAACAAGGAGAAAGAGAGAAAATGTGGGGCAATATACCTTCCAAAGAAGAGTAAAAGAATAAAGGCTTCATGAAACCCATCTGTGTTGTAGACATTTGTACAGATGTGACTGTACTTGGAACAGCAGAACAGGCAAATCCATGGCACATGGAGAACAGAAGCTTTGGAGCAAACACTTTAGGGACAGCAGAGCACACCTCCTCCCGGGGGTGGACAGCTCTAATTGCCACATTGCTTCCCACGAATGACAGGAAGAGTCAGAACAGCTGCAAAAAGTCAGTGAGATGTCTCAAAGGGGGGAAAAAGGAAAGGGAAGCTAACCAAGATCTTTTTACCATGATATTTGTGACAAGAGCCATCAAAACACGAGAGTCGGTGATGGACAGCGGGGGAGAACAGTCAGGATTCCACAAAACAGTTCAGACAGCTGGAAACCAGGCTGAAAATTAACATTTGTCAAAAGAAAAATGTGGCGTTTCGCTCTGTCCTAGAGCTACCTCTGTGTCACGGGCAAATATCCCATCCTGCTGCCCAGACCCAGACCAAGAGCTCCCAAAGGAGACTGTCTCGGCCCTGAGGCAGGGTGAGGATGGGACCCCAACATCTCTTCTCCAGCTCACACTTGTGTATGCTGGGATGGCAGTAGCTCATGGGCTTGTCAGAGCCACAGCAGAAGGGAAATCCAAAACTCAGTCACACTCACCTTCCTCTCCTGCTCTGCTGTCACAGAGGTATTCCAAGCTCTGAAAATAACTCCACACAACTCCACCTCTGTGCCACTGATCCCATCCTCAGTGGGGTTTGCTCCTTCCTTAAGGAACAAGGAAAGGGCAGGGGGCAGACTGAGTAAACTGTTTCTCTTCCATGGGGAGCATTTGCTCAGCCCTCCAGCACTGGCAGGCAAATTGTCTTCTGGTGCAAGGGGACAGAGCTCAGCACGGTTCTGCCAGCAGACAGCTTGGCCCAGGGCTCCCTCTTGATTCCTGCTTTCTAACAGACATCCCATTGCTGAGCCAGGAGTCCAACAAGGGGCACCCGACAGATAAGGAGGCCAAGGCTCCCACTCCCTCCTCCTGCAGACCTAACCGCAGCAGACCTAACACCTACGAGAAAGAAGATCTGGGAGTCACCAGCAGTAACATCTCACATACTCCTTACAGCTGCCACTGTTCTTTCCCGCATGTCACTATGGTCCAGGAACACGACAGTTACAGCCTCTGCTGTGGGTACATTCTCCACAAGGTTTGCAGTGAGCTCTGAGGCAGAGCTCCATCTCAACAGAGCCAGCTTTGAGACCTGCAGCCCAAAGCTCAGCAGGCAGTGGGCACATCAAACCCTTGACAACATCCCTCTTCCCTGACAAGCCATCCAGGACACAGATTTCCATGCCCTCTACCCTGTGCTCAGCAAGTCCCTTCACTGCAAAGGTCTGAGATATCTGATGGTGTCAGTCAACAAACTGCTCCCTCTCCTTGTTTCACAGTGCTCCCGTTGTCCCAGTATTGCCTCCAAAGCTTCCCAGTTCACTGACACAGCAAGGCCACCCCAGCCTTTAAACATCAGGCAACATGATTAGACATTAGTCCTAATGTCTAATCTTCTTCCCTGTGCGGGTGCTGAGGCCCTGGCACAGGGTGCCCAGAGAAGCTGTGGCTGCCCCATCCCTGGCAGTGTTCAAGGCCGGGTCGGACAGGGCTTGGCACAACCTGCTCTAGTGGAAGGTGTCCCTGTCCATGGCAGGGGGGTGGAACCGGATGAGCTTTGAGGTCCCTTCCAACCCAAACCAGTCTGGGACTCCATGATTCCATGTTTACCTGACACTAAGGTACAGATCAAGCCCTGCACAGTTTGTGGTGCTGCTGGAAGCTGGTGGCTCCAATTCAGCTAGATAAAGTGCAGTTAGACAAATCCCTTCTCCAGCACAGCCTCATCCCACCTGCCACAGCTCCCCACGCACAGACCGCTGAGCCTGAAGGCGCATTTTTCACTGCCCTCCAAGCCCCAAGCCCCAGAAGTTCCATTCTC